GCACATAGACGAGGGGAAAGGTAGTCGCTTATTTCTTCATTATAACATTTCATTTTTTGCACACGTCAACTACGGTAAATAACTAAAATGGTGGTCACTGTTGTTGTACATTTAATTGCAAAAAACGAGCATGTGGATAAAGTAAAAGCAAAATTAATTCAAGCAAGTCGTGTCTATGTTAAAGATCAAGGAACCATCAATTGGTATGTTCATCAAGGTAAACGAAATGTGTTATTATATTTATCATTTAAATAGAAATTTCTCATATGAAAAATGATAGATGCAACGGATCCAACGAAATTTACCATCGTTGAACGATATGAACAAGGAAGTTATGCACAAGCCCATGTCAACCATCCATATTTTAAAGAATTTTGTTCGTATGTAAATCCGCTTCTTGCTAAACCTTGGGTAAGTAATTATCTTTATCATTAAAATACTTCATCTATTATTCTATTTGGAATCCTAGGAGATACATCAGTTAGTCGAGTTAGATACATCAAATGAAGTCGAAGTTCCACCACAAACTTGGTCGGATGAAACAAAGAACTAAACTATGCTTCCAATGACATTTTCTTCCGTGATACTTCTTTAGAACCCCTGTCCTATTGTAGATGAGCGAAAAATTCTATCAAATAATTAATTCTTTTGAATTATACGTTCGTTTTTTTTTCTTGCATAGAGCAATTTATTTATTTGATTATGCCCACATTTTCGGTTGTCCTACTTCTCTTCATTCCATCAATATTTTTCTTTCGTTCAGAAAGTTTCTCCTCACCTGTGCTTCGTCATCATTGCACAATTCATGACAAGGCAAAAAATACAAATACCTTCTAATGTTTATTCAACAGAATCATCACAGCATTTATCTAGAGCAACGGTCGAAATCGGTCTTTTCGTTCCCCCAGGGAAAGAAAATGATTTTTGACTGCAATCAGTTTTTCTCTTGGATGTGTGTCTTTGCAGAAGTCTTTCTTAAATCGACATCATCATTGATATTAATTAGCGAGAATAATGGTTTGATATAACAGATTGATAGTTAAATATGAGAAGGTAATTTGATTTTTCTTAAAGAAAACTATAGGTCAACAACCAACAAGGCATTGTTCACAAGTTTCTTTTCACGTTTATAAATGAAATAACTTATAACGAAATGATTTGATAATATTACAACCGAATTCCTTGACATTAATTGTGATTTCTGATGAAATTACGGTCTGTGTCAATGTTGCAGGTAGATAATTATATATTCAAAGTTGTAACTAAGATTCTGTTGAAAAAAAATCAGTGAAAACTCATTTTCACGATTTCATTAAAAATGAAAAAGATCAACATGAGAAAAACACAAACTCCACACATTTTACACAACTTATCTTTTCTCAAAGCAAAGAACTTGAATAAGATACATTTCGTCATCGAAAGATGAATCTGAAGAAAATTTCTTAATATAAAATAGTGATGGAAACAGAATTGAGTAGATTAGGCAGTAAAAGCTTGACGGATTTTTGAGACACTTATAAAATAAATGTGAAAAAGAGATTTCTTGAAAACCTTATGATGATGAATAACCATCTCAAAAGTTTATCGAGAGAATTTTGAAATCTTTTCTAAAAACAAATTACTCGTTGCAAGTCGACAAATATGAAATCGGTTTCTCCCCAACAAACAATTCGTATTCATTGCTAATAAAAGATAATGACAAACATTTCTTTTATCCGACCGAAAAGAAGAAAATTTGACTAGAAAAAAGATTTCTTTTTATTTTAATGAGAAAGTTATTTCAAATAATCCTTCAAAATATTTTCGATGCAAAATTCTTGAGAGTGACAGTGTGATTGTTTTCCTCGTCCCTCCGTCTCACACATCCTCATCGTCTTTTTAACTTGAATCAAACAGAAAACTAATCAAATGGAAAGTTCACGTGGAATTTGAAAATTTTCATTGGGCCAAACTTGTCTAATAAAACACATCAAAGCAAATCCATCCATATCGTTGGGATAGGTTGGAAAATTCAATCGAATTGTTCGTTCTTTTTCAATAACTGCTTGTTGTTTATGAATATTTGCTAATTGCATATTTTGAGTTTTCGTATAAGCTATTACTAAACGACGATGACTGATTTCAGCCAATGGATAATCTTTTAAAAATCCATTGTTTTCATTATTTTGTTCATATATTAACAAAGCTTGTTGAAGATGTTCTATGACTTGATTCCAATTCTCTATTCGTTCATATATGACCGCTAAAGCCACATGTATAATCGCTTGATGTTGTTGATTTGTTTCCGAACACGATTGAAGGGCTTTGTAAGAGTTTTCTATGGCCAAATCGAATTGTTCTAATAGAAAATAAAGTAAACCACGTCCCCGATATATATCAATAATTCGTTGAGAATCATTGTCAGGTTGAAGTAAAGCTCGATCAAGACAATCCAATGCAAATGGATATCGTTGTAAATCAAGATAAATAAGAAACATGTTAAACAAATAATCCCTATCGGTACAACGTTCATTTTTATCAATTTCTTTTAAATCATCTAAACCTGCACTAAGGTGAAATTTCGATTTAGTTACTTTCCAAAGCATTGCTCGAAGAACTGCTCGAAATATATAAACATCGATCGGCGGAGAACCTATTGTTCACATATATAGAAAACATTGCATTACTGTATTTTTCAGTACTTACATGGATCGTGTTTGAGATATTGTTGAACAGCTTGATTACTGTAATGAAGAGCCATGCCGTACATTCCTCTTTCTTTATAAATCACAGCGATTGTTGAGAAAATACGTCCCAGTTTGTCATAGGGAATTTTCTGATTAGGAGTTTCCATAGATTGGGTTTTAGTTATTACCTGAAAGTAAATATTTAATGCTAATGATTTGTAAATCTTTTCTGTTCGTTCATTGAACTGAGCAGCTAAATCAAGTAAATAAAAGTGATCATTAACATCATATTTTTTGAAAAATCCATCTATTAGACAGTTGTATGATTCGATGAGAAAAAAATCTTCGCAACGTAATATGTGAAGTTGAGAAACGAAACGATATCCACTCATTGCTAGATCATGTTCCTTGGGATGAGATTGCAACGACCTTTTCAAGCATTTTATATAAAAGTCTATCAATGGATTTTGTAGAGTTAAAAATAAAATATTTTCATGAATGTTTTTGATTATTTGTCTGAAAAGGAGAAACCAATAAGTACTTGCTTGTAATTCATTCAAAGAGAATAGGATGTTTCCAATAAAAATTGAGGCAGTTAGGATATACGAATTGCTTAGACTTAATCTTGTGGTGGACCAAGTTGTGATCGTTATATCGCTCTGTTTCGTTGAATACATTGCAGGAATTACAATAGATGAATTAGATATACATTTTGCTTTTTCTTCTACCGTAATTTTCGCAGTTGATGATGGTTGAAATTCGATGGCGTAAATACGTACGATTTGTTTCATATTCAACATTTGACGGCACGAACAATCCAATGTAATAAGAAGAATTTGTTGATCGTCATTTGTGTTTTCAATGTCATCGGATAACTTAGCAAAATCTTTATAAATCTTTAATGATTTTGGTAAGAAATCAATCTCACAAATGGATTCGATATTTAATAAATCATCTCCATCGTGAAATAAAAAAATGTTCCCAATCGACATTTTCTTTTCATCGAATTTCACACATTTACCTGGTGTATTTATAAAACGAAGGTAATCATGCGTGAAAAAAAAACATGCTATAAATCGAAAGGAAGTAAATATCGTTCGTCTTACAATGTTAAAAACAATTTGGTATCATTGTACAACTGAATACAGTGTCAAAGAAATTGAAAAAGATGCTGAATATGAGAAACAATTAGTCAATGCATTTCCTCAATTATTAACATTCACTGATATAAATAATTGTATTGATTACATCACCGATTGTGATGATCGAACGGTCTCTTTGATTTTTTCCGACGTTCAAGGTATTCAATCTTTATCACTTATTTATCAACTTGAACAATTCATACGTATTTATGTTTTGGAACCGATTTCNCCAGGATGCTTAGCAACAATCTCATCAAGATATGGCAGATCTAATGCTTCGTTCGTTTTTGCTATAAATATAACAGATGACAGTACACCTCCATTGTCGATCAAATTCTGCACCAAATAACAATATAAGATTCTTATATATCGTTGACGCCCATAAAATACAAGTGCAATAGCAGTTCGATTGATCAATTTATTTGGTTGTGTACTATTGTTCTCATACAATTTAGTGTAACGAAGAAGATGACCAGAATTCAAATCTGAAGACCACAGATAGAAAATCAGAGTCAGGAGAAGTAGATTTAACATAGAAATCGCGATGGTGCGTTGTTGTGTCATACTAAAACCAAATGGTTTCTTATTGAGTGACTTGACCGTTCTCCAAATAATGTGTCCACGGCTACCAGACAAGAAAGTCTTTAATCATTTTTTCGAAAGAGTAAAATGTAATATCTCACCCTTCTCTTCTTCTACTTCTAATCAGTAGTTTCAAAAGTAAGCATGCATTTTTGTTTATATTTCATTAAAGAATAACATTGACTGATCGATTTTCGTCTTTCTGACTAAAAATGAAAGAGAACTGCAACATTTTCTATAGATGCAAAATACATTCATTCAGAGTATGAGTGAGATACTCTCTTTCTTCCAGTGATCTATCCAAAATCTGATCTTAGAAAGGCTGTTTCCTGATTAACTTAGACAAGTAAACGAAATTTAACAATTTTTATCCAACTGCATGTCTTTGTTGTCAGAAAAGGATAAACAAGTTATTATATGCTTGAACGTTTATTTGATAATGTCAAAGACATTAAATTTTTATCTCTTCACGGTAATGTTTTTCGAAAATTTATTTCATCAAAAAAGTTGAAGATGATCAGGACCTGATGCAATAATCGTGAAATTTCCTGTTTGATATGCAGAAGTCGTTGTAATCAGTAAAACATATGGAGTACCTTCTTTAAGATTATGGGATAATTTGAATTGATGGTTGTCGTCAAATAAATTTACCGATGAAATTAAATATAGACCGATATTTAAAGGATCAAATCGATCCATAAAAAGAACACCAAATGTATTCAAATTACTTTGACTTGTAAATGTATAGAGACCTGATTTTTTTACAATAATATTTATTGTGTGATAATATTCTGTTGCGCCGGGAACTTTAGGACTGTTCTTGGTTAATTCATTGGAATAATTTGAAAGAACAGAAATTGATGGGAATTTTGTTGTTGTTGGTACTGTTGGATAAAATGTTGTGACTTTTGATGATGAACATACTACAAAACATTCAGTATTTTATACAAATATTTAGAAAAAAAAATAACAAAAAACAAACCTGCCAAGCTAAAACGAAGAAAGATTCAGTGTTAGAAAACTCAAAAATATTAAAAGACAGGGTGTTTATTACCTTAAAATAATGAAAATCGCCGAGAAAATTGATAATGAAGCCATGATCAATAGTGCAATATAAATTTAGTAGTGAAGAATCTTACTCTCGGCTTCATTTTTATACCGAAAATAAATCCAGAAAATAATCCCTACTCAATTAAAGAATTAAGGAATGTACTTTCATTTTGGGAGTGCGATGACAGAACAAAAAAAAAGAAAATCGATACAATGACTTGACATGACGCATGCACTAAGAAAAATGCTTATCATTATGTCATTATGTTTCTACCAAACCTTTTTTTAATGTCCAGTGAAATGTTTATCTATGAGAACAATGATAATTCTGAAGAAATCATGGTACGTGATAAAGAACTGATCTTACTTCATCGGAGTATGATTAACTAAAAATATCCTTCGAAACGCCCATGTCAGTGGAAATAGCCAGTAATAGTCAAAAAGTGCCTTCATCAAAACTTATTAAACTCACTTCTTTCATAAGCAATCGTTCTCAACTTGAGATGGTCGGTCACCAATCTCAGTTTTGATCTCACACTATTCCATACATCAATATCCTTCACCATTCGCTTTCTTTCTCTCTCTCTTTCCCCATATGTAGACAGAAAATAGGTGAGGATAACTGAAATGAATAATGAGGAGAAAAGCACGCGTGATATTAATTGATTTATTTAGTACTTTAATGTTCTACAGTTTCATAAATTTTTGAACACGATGGTTACCATAATCTCCAATGTACATATTCATGTTCGAGTCGAAAGCAATACCTCTCGGGTCGTTTAATTGTATGGAAGTATCACCCATGGTACCATTTCCAGCAATGGTAATACCAACACGATTGTTTGCGCAAAACATTTGAATTCGATGATTGTAGTTGTCAGCAACATACAAATTTAAATAAGCGTCAAATTTAATACCCATTGGATTGTTAAGAAGAGTTGAATTGGAGCCTGATACACCAGGAACACCGGCGACAAATACACCTGAACTAGCACCAGGAGTCCAACGCATCACTGAGTGTCCACCGTAGTTTGTTATAAACAAATCATTACTTACAGATGGCATATAATGAATACCCCATGGTATATTTAATGATGTGTTTTGATTAGCAGCGCCATTACCACCTGCCACGAGAATTCCATTATCGCCGGTAGTTCCATTTGTCAAATAGCGCATGATTCGATGTTGCGCATCATCGGCAATGAACATATAAGTCTCTGTCGCATCAAAAGTGAGATATCGTGGACAATTAAGTCGATTTAATTCAGGTCCATTTACTCCACTGATACCGGCGACTGTTACTCCAATATTTGATTTATTACTGAACTTCTGGATACGATAATTGACACAATCAGTAACATATATATTTCCAAGTCTATCAACATAAACATCATTCGGAAAATTCAGTTGCGAACTATTTGTTCCTCGAGATCCGAAAGTTCCAGCAACGACTGTGGCATTAGTAGAATTTCTGTCGAGTTTCCATACAACCGAATCAATGCCTTCGTCAGCAAAATAAACTGCACCATTCAAATCAACAAATACACCTGACGCTATGAGCGATGGTGATAAACTAAAGATAGTAATGCCAGTTGTGTTCCAACGTAAATTTCCCAGTTCACCTAGAGAAAAAACAAAATTGAATTGTCTGTAGACGCAGAATGACTATCGACGATAGATCTTTACTTACACGGATTTATCTGAGTGGTAATCACTGATGTCGTTGATGTACTAAATATACATTTAATCGGTAAAACAAGAACACAAAAGAATATGATATCTCTATAAATCTATCTATTTCAACTTGCAATAATCTTTAAAGTGCTTAATATCGATACAAGACAGACTTATAGTAACTTACGTGAATGATTCTGTCGTTACTAAAACAAAACATGACAAAATAAAGATACATTAGAAATCTATCTCATAACTCTACTTACAAGCTGATCCTTGTAAATTGTCCATAGAAATCATCGTTATAGTATTGATTTGTACTGTATAATTTCCATCTTCTAATGAATTCTTCGGAAAAAGTTCACATTGATTATTTAATGAATTGAAAGTAATAACAGTACAGTGTGAGTAAGTTAAACAGGATATTTGACATTGTCTCAATGTTGATGTCGAAATGATCATCGATGATGGGCAAGACGGATGATTACATTCATATTTAGTATTGATTTTGATTTTCAATCGTATCGATCGATAATCTTGAGAACTTCCTTGTGTAATAAGAAGAAATAGAAAGTACAATTCACTTGTCGACATCTTGAAAGAAGTATGAATTACTTTGAAAAACAAAAAAAGTATTTTTAAAATATAAATGTATTTAATATTTAAAAGAAAAGAAAATGGTTTTCTCATTTATTTTTCAGCTTGATGTTTGCCTCCACATTTTCTTCCTGTATACTTGAAAAGTCGAACACACTATTGATACCCGACTGGTGTTCGGTGGTTTATTCATTTTTTACAAGATAATTTTCGAAAAGAACCAGAGATAAGATCAGTATCAGTACGTGAAGCCAAAGTAAAAATATTTTTGATTCCAGGAAGGTCTCTCCTTTCTAGTCAGTTTGTTGAATCAACCTTCAAGGGTTTTATAACAATGCATAGGATAATAGTCTATACAAGACTCGTTTTTTCCGCATAACCATAGTCTCGAAAACTATTGCGCTGAAATTGTCGGGATGACAAATTGAAACTTTTCTTTTGAAAGAAGAACATGTTTTCTTGGTGAGATAAGAAAAGAAGGATATAAACGACTATGAAATGTGTTTAGAACTTCTTTTCTTTCTCATACCTTCTGATTCGGTCGTTACAATGATACATTCACGTATAGATAACATAAGTTGTACGATAGAAGATGAAGCGAGATGCTCAAACTCGTCTTATAGCAACGAAGTAGAACAAATTTCCTCGATCGTTTAATCGTGAATATATCAATTTAGAATCACATCAATTGATATTTCTCCACAAAACAACAAATTCTAATGAACAAGATGAAGTTCTTCACAAATTGAATGAACTTCGTCAAATTGTTGATTACATCAAATTAATAAACAACATCGAACAAGCTCTACAATTCATCCGACCAGCGAATAGTACCATAACATATTGAGTTTGTTTTGTTAATATTGATCAGACCATTCTGTCAGAAATTCATTCCTTGGAAAATGTACGATCAATTTATATCTATGAACAAGAACAGCAATGTCATGTACAATGGACGAGTGAATATACGAAAGTAAAATATTTTCTTTTTATACTCACATTCACAAGTTCGAGAGATAAGAGAAGTGCTTGTGAGATGATAAAGTACACGCTTATAACAAACAGATGAAAATCGTATTTTTCTCCTTCGAATTAGTTCCGCGTTGGGTACATAAAATAATAATATTTCATTCATTTTGTCTTGATAGATTAGGGAAATATACATCGACTGGAAATTGCTTTTAAATGCTCTTAGATCTGATGTTGAACAATATTTACATGAAGAAAAACACGGAATATTCAGTGAAATTGGTCGAGATAATTATACAAGTGATATTTATACATTTTCATGGTGGAATTACGTTATTTCATTAATTTGTCATCTATCTTACTCCAAATATTCTTATGAAAATTTTCTTGTCACTTTAAGAGAATATTATCAAGGTAAAGAAGTCGAAATGAAAATCTTAGATGAATTCGAACGGGACTACTCGTCTGACACTGCCATACGTTGGTATACGCGTAATACATTCCTTTATTTGGTTATAAACAAAGCTCTTCGTCAAAAGAATATCGAAGTTATTTTTCTATTTGCTTTTTTAATCAAAGATATTTACAATCAGTTGAAAAGGCAACATGAAACATTACGACTAAGTCATTTAGTTAGTCCAATAATCAATGTTTATCGTGGACAAATGATCTCATTCCAAGAAATTCGTCAAATTAAAGCTGCGACTTATCTTATTACTAATAGTTTTTTTTCCACATCACTCGATCCCACTTTAGCATCATTCTTAATCGGATCATCGACTGGACCAAATGATCCGATTCAGCATATTTTCTTTGAAATTGAAATTGATCTTCGAATAATTTGTCAACCATTTGGATTAATTTCAAGTTTATCTTATTTTCCCAATGAAGATGAAGTTCTTTTCATGATTGGAACTTATTTCAAAGTCATTCAATGTTCTTATGACGAACACAAGCAAATTTACATTGGAAAACTTCAATTAGATATCGATTCTTCTTTAGAAAGAAAACCTGACTTGACAGGAATGACATCGCGACAAACATTGAAAGCTGGTGCGATTGATATTTCGAGAAATTTGTATCGAGTCGGTGAACGAGATATTAATGTTATTTTCAATCAGCTTAATCAATTGTTTCCTCATGAAAAACAATGGCTAAATGCAGTTCATTCTCATACGCTCGCCATATTGTATCGACAATTTCATATTAAACATTATCCGGAATATGTTGATATTACTTTGTCGAATTTTCAATATGCATTGAACATTTATCAATCATATTTAGATGATTATGAACTCAATTTTCGAGTTAATATTGCTGATATTTATTTAGCTATGGGTTCTATATATCGAATCTATGTTAAAGATGAAGAACTTGCTAATCAACAATATGACCGTGGAATTGAATTTTGTGTTTTATCACTTCAAATAACCGGAGACATTAGTCAACGAATAGAACTCTATAGAATCCTTGTTTGGATGCATGAGAGTAAAATTGCAATAGAAAAGGATGAAAATATCAAGACACAATTGACTGTTGATGCCATCAAATAGCGGAATTTACAATTAGAAGACATGTCAACATCTCCTTCACTTAAACGCTCGAATTATATTGAATGTTATGTAAATTTGGCCCAACTACAATCTGTGATCGNATTTTTTTTCTCACATTTTTTCGCTGTCTTGAAAATGACTCTACTTGAGTTGAAACGTTGACACGTGTTATACAAATAAACAATGTTTTTCGCTGCTGTAAAATCTCTACTTTTCATTACTCAAATGATCCAATTCAGCATATTTCCTTTGAAATTGAGATTAATCTTCGAATAATTTGTCAACCATTTGGATTAATTTCAAGTTTATCTTATTTTCCCAACGAAGACGAAGTTCTTTTCATGATTGGAACTTATTTCAAAGTCATTCAATGTTCTTATGACGAACGCAAACACATTTACATTGGAAAACTTCAACTAGATATCGATTCTTCTTTAGAAAGAAAACCTGATTTGACAGGAATGACATCGCGACAAACATTGAAAGCTGGTGTGATTGATATTTCGACGAATTTGTATCGAGTCGGTGAACGAGATATCAATGTTATTTTCAATCAGCTTAATCAATTGTTTCCTCATGAAAAACAATGGCTAAATGCAGTTCATTCTCATACGCTCGCCGTATTGTATCGACAATTTCATGTTAAACATCATCCGGAATATGTTGATATCACTTTGTCGAATTCTCAATATGCATTGAACATTTATCAATCATATTTAGATGATTGTGAACTGAATTTTCGAGTTAATATTGCTGGTATTTATTTAGCTATGGGTTCTATATATCGAATCTATGTCAAAGATGACGAACTTGCTAACCAACAATATGATCGTGGAATTGAATTTTGTGTTTTTTATCACTTCAAATAACCGGAGACATTAGTCAACGAATAGAACTCTATACATTCCTTGTTTGGATGCATGAGAGTAAAATTGCAATAGAAAATAATGAAAATATCAAGACACAATTGACTGTTGATGCAATCAAATATCGGAATTTACAGTTAGAAGACATGTCAACATCTCCTTCACTTAAACGCTCGAATTATATTGAATGTTATGCAAATTTGGTCCAACTACAATCTGCGATCGGACTTATCATCGAAGCCGAAGAGAAACCAAACTATTATTCAAGTGCATTGGTTTATAACAAAATATCAAAGTTGTTTATTGAACAAAAGGACGATTATAATATTGGACTTTATTATAAACAGAAAGAACTTGCATTTCAAATGAAACATGAAGACTCAATTGCAACTAAAACTGAACTTGGTATCGATTGTTCCAATAAAGATTTGGCTGAAATCCATGAATCACTGGGAGACATATACGTCCATTTAGGCCAATATGGGCTGGCGCAGGTGAGAATTTCAATGTCTCAAATAGGCATGCATCGAGCCCGAACGTTCGGGTTCGATGAGTTCGGGTTCGAGTTCGGTTCGAAGGTTCGGGTTCGGGTTCGAGTTTGGACTTGAGTTCGGTTTCATGGTTCGGGCTCGGGCTTGGGCTCGGAGCCGAACAGTTCGGGTTCGGAAGTGGATGCTTCGGGTTGCGATCGTCATACTAAAATGTCGAATCATTGACTGTTCATCAAACAATATTAAAATATTTTTGTGTGAACTTTCTATGTAAGTAATTATAATCATTCAGAAATTGCGAAGCAATACGAAGTATCAAGTGAAATTCAAACTGAATCTTAAAGCTGAAGTGCCATGATAACAAAAAACGATAGAGAGACTTTATCTAATGATTTCCAACTTTGCTATGTGAAACCATTTGCGAAAGAGAAATACGTTTTCGTTTTTATTTATTTTNCCTTCACTTAAACGCTCGAATTATATTGAATGTTATGTAAATTTGGCCCAACTACAATCTGTGATCGGACTTATCACCGAAGCTCGAATGAACTATGAACAAGAAGTTGAGATGTATTTACAGGAAGAGAAGCCAAAATATTATTCAAGTGCATTGGTTTATAACAAAATATCAAAGTTGTTTATTGAACAAAAGGACGATTATAATATTGGACTTTATTATAAACAGAAAGAACTTGAATTTCGAATAAAACATGACGACTCAATTGCCACTAAAACTGAACTTGGTATCGATTATTCTAATAAAGATTTGGCTGAAATTCATGAATCACTGGGGGATATATACGTTCAGTTAGGCCAATATGGGTTGGCACGTGAGAATTTCAATGTCTCAAAACAATTTTACGAAAATACCCATTGCTATGACAAAGAAAAAAGAATTCAAACTGTTACGGATAAATTAACAAGTATACAACAATGTTGAGACTTTCAATTTCCATGAACTATGAATATTGAAGGGCAGTTTTACGGTCATCTTATTACAAGTTTAAAGAAAAAATATATAGACAAAGGCGAAGAAAAGTTTGGATATTCGTGTTAAAACTTAAATCCTCCTGTGCGGTTCATTACACTGTCGGTATCCCATGCTTTACGAATACTCTGAAGTCGTGCTACATTGTCTCCATACATTTCGGATAGAGTAGTACTGTCAAGAGCATAGTTAGGATAACGAATTTGTTTTGTAGCATTGCTGTTTTGTCCATTATAAAGTGCTGCTTGTAGAATAGCATCTGCAGATAATTTAATCTCATTGACAAAATAATCATCATCTGCAGGCAGTCGCCAGCTAAACTGAAGAAATATAGGTAGAAGAGGGGTCGTTGATGGGCAGTGTGGATAAGCACCACCCTGTGACTTGTCGAAATAAGTTGGTAAAAATGGTTCTGCAGTAAACGACGCGAACGCATCGAGTTTCGAGTCAAATTTTGCTGCATTGTAGATGGTTTGATTCTTGAGTTCTTGGAACACACGATCAGTTAAATTGGTAACTGACACTGTATGGAAACGACCGCTAGAATAACGACAAGTTAGAATAGTATATCTCGAAGGCTAAACACGATCACTTCCAGTGTGAGAGATTTACTTACCGTCGACCATCGGTAACATAGATGGGCACAACTTTAACGAATGAAAGAAACGAACGAGTTTTGAGAGTCCCCATATGAGGAATATTTATAAACTTCTTAAATGTATCATCGGGAGCTCTTGGAGCATCATAGAAGAGAGTTACGTCGAACGTGACCAGTCCTGTTTGGGGAGTGAATGAGACCAAAGCTTGTGCTTTGGGATCTTTGTTATTATCTCGAAAATCCATAACAGCTTTCAGGACGTCATCAAAGCGCTGTTCATCGATATAAACAAGTAGACCACCATAGACTTGAGTTTGTGGGTGAGCATGTAATCTGAAATTGGTGACGATACCAAAATTGTTAAAACCACCTTTTAATCCAAAGAAAAGATCGGGATACGAGTTATTCGTTACGTCGACAATTGTACCATTCGGAGTAACAAGCTAAAAAAAGATCATAATAGACAATAACTTCATCTAATTTCTACCTCATAGCCGATAACATTGTCAATAGCGAGACCAAATTGATTCGATTTCCATGAATAACCGCCACCGAGAGTGAATCCAGCAACGCCAACACCCGATACACGACCACCGACGACATTGATGTTGTGTGGCTCGAGTGCCTTGTACACATCGTCCCAAAACAGTCCTGGGCCCACATCAACTGTCTGATTGTCGGCATGAACAATAACGTTGGAAAATCGTCGCATTGCAATATGAACACCTATCGTCGAGCTAAACAGAGGATTTGCACTATGTCCACCGCCTTTCACAGCAAAAGGAACTCGGTTTTCTTGGACAATTTTCATCTAGATATCAACTTTTATCGTTTTGCGGTTGATGACAAGCAGTTATTTGGCTTACAATGATAGCGACATCATCAGCCGTTGAAGGTTCGACCGTACAAGCCGGATATTGAGTGGATGATATGGCATAGTGCTTGATATCTTCAAAGTAATTTGGATCGGGTGAATAGAATACTTGGGTATGTCTAGCCTTGTTTTTTATGCTCTCGCAAATATCCTTTAGGTTATTATCGATTCCTACAAGTCATACGCAGTCTGCATCACTAGACGGTCTAAAAACGAAAAATACTTACTCTTAGGCTTCGTTGCAGCAGGAATGATTGAATAAGCATTAGTGAACGAGATGAGCACTAATACACCAATGTGAATGGTCCATTGAATTCTTGAACTCATAACTTGCCTGCAATGTTTTCTTTATCAATATGAAAATTATTATCAAATGTTAACTTACTTTTTAGTCATGTTTAAAAATGTGCAAACATCAAGATAACTTTTCTTAGCTACTTTAAATTGAAAATGCACTTTTAAGTGAAATCTCAGAATACCTTTCATGTCTTCTAGTTAAAAGTACGATCAGATATCCGTACTTTTTTTAAAGAACCTTTTGAATTTTGTAAAACAGAGCGGAGGTTGCAAAAAAAACAGAAAGAAAGAATAAGCAAAAAAGACAAATAATAAATGGGAGTAGAAGATAAGATGCGCATGTTTTGCTTCTAAAATTAATACGGCCTGCTTATGAAGTGCCTCTCATATTACTGTTTTCTAATGTATATTGAAAAACAGAAGGTCTCTTGAGACTAAGCTAAATTATCAAGATTGAATACTAATCTACGGATATCCATATCCAAAAACACCTACGAAATGAAGATGAATAGTCATATTTAGATGTGTATCAATAACAAAACAATTTCTTTCACTTGAACGACGGTAGGATAACCGTAGCGAATATGCAATTACATCGTTACTCTATCTTTTGCCGTGTTCTATACTCATCGATTCGGACTGGAGCACTGCAAAACATCACAGCTTTAAGAAAAGCCATGTTTGTGCAAACAATTTCCAGCAATACTACATTAATCAGAAGAGTGAGTCGTAGAAAATATCTTAATCGGAAGTAGATGTTTTTAAAACAATGGAAGTTAGCAGCGGATTTGAATATTTCTTGCTGACATTCGCTCCAGTACTTGAGATGAGTCTGAAACTCCTGAGATGAATAGATCTCGTCATTTCGTATTGAAATATGTAACTGAAGTAGGATGTCCCTTGTGAAGCCTAATGAAAATAGATTGTGAGCGTACTCATAACATGATAACCATATAGTTATCTGGCTGGACGTACATGTATATATCTTTTGAAACGGTAACAATTAATAAGAGGTGGTGTGGAAATATTCTTTCTTGAAAGAATTGAAAACAATCAATTAGATGGATTTAGGATCGTTGCCCATGTCAAAGTTGTACGGTAGGAACCAGCAGGATCAATGATTTTCCGACGATTTCCTGCAATGGGAATCTAACTTCGTTTCCGGTCATCCACTTCCGATACTGTTCCAGTTAATTCCTTGACACGGATCACATTTTCTGTAATGATTACGAACATATGAACCGGCATTTTCCCGTGTTTTCAGATTTTAAATCGTTCAAAAATATATTATCTATTAATGTGTATTTAAGTGCAAAGAAATTTTACAACATAGAAAGAAGTGCTCGCTTGTGGTTATATTGTGAATTGGTTATTATCTGAAAAGTTCTCAAATGATTAGTACACTCTTTCAAAATCTCAGATGAATACGTGAATTTTAAATCCCCTGCTCAAATTAATATATGTGTAGGTAAAATAAAGTAATAATCTAATAAATAATTACCATAGTATTATATGTGATGCATTGTTTTTATTATGTTTTTTTTTAAATTAACTCTGAGTTCTCGAGGGGTGTTTGATGAAGTAGATACGTGTGATACATAAACACAATGTTGTGTTTGATTTAACCATAATGACGCACAATATAATTTGTGCTTTGTGGCGAAGTTCATTTTGCTGTGAAACTTTAGCATAGTAACATAATATCATGAACAAAAATGCATTGTGCATTGAAGTGTAACAAAATACTCTTCGAAATTGCCCCATAATTTCCTTCTCATATGAACTAAGGCTTTTGACATCAAACATTCAATTTTCCAATGGTTTGCCAGTCATAAACAAAAATCAGTAGATTTCATATCAATCTACAATCCGATTACATATCACGCCGAAAAAGAAAACTGAATTCTCAGTATGCCTTTCGCATTAACAATAGTGACATGTTTCTAAAACATAAAAGTACGGTAAATATCTCGATTACTCAGCTCTTTACAAGGGGAAAATAGCAAACTCCAAATTTCTAACAGAAGTTCTAAAACTCTTGAAGTAGCGGAGTACAGTCTAAATTACTCAGAGCAGATAAAATATGCCGGAGGTCAATGTGAAGTATGTCCAGGAGTTCCATTGGGAGTACCGACTGAAATATGTGAATTTTATCCAAAAATCTCATATTGACAAATTTGTGCTCCCATACTCCATGTGGTACTCCAGTACTTCAAATGATACTTCCATACTCCAATTTCAATTCAGCACTATAATCAATCGTACATCTTCCCCAGCAAATTCAGTGGCTGAACAGTGCCATAAATCTCACTGGACCATAACTATTGAAGCGCTGTTGCCGCAGAATCCTTCAAAAACATCGATTAACGTTAAATCTATAAATTATATCGTGCCTCAGTTTTATGTATGATGCAATCTTTTGTGAACAAAACATCCCTACGCATCGAAGAGTACATGATTTCATATAAAATAAGTTGTTGGAAATACAATAAACCAATGGAGTTTTGGAGTACCGTTTTCCCTTTGAAGGAACTTTTATTAATTGAGTGCGAGGTTAGTTGATTGAAAAGAAAACAAATAATACACATATTACGTACGAAAAAAACATATATAAATCTCTTTTCTTTTCTTTTCTTGGACAGAAAAATGCGAGCAGAGAACTAAGAGAATAATACAACAAAAACGAAATGATTACACAAAAACAGATTTGCAAATAAATATAGATAAAGTAAAACTATTTTTACATAATCATTCGTATGCGAAAGATTATGGATAAGTTCTAATTGTAAATATTTATTTCTCAGTTCGCTTTGTTAAAATGGTTTAGGTTTGATGAAACAGTTTTCGATTGTAGATGCCCTCTGTTGAAGCTAACCGGTAATCGAATGTGTTCAGCGGGACGTTGCATAAATTCTATATTTGTCGGTGTAATCATTCTTCTTCCTCTTGTTATGATGCTCATTAGTTCATAACGAAATTCAGTAAATGTAATCAAGTAAATTGGCAAATTTAAAATAGGGAATGTGTATTGAATTATATCAATTGCATAAATTAGATGTATACCCCAGTCAGTTGCATAAAGCGAACCATAAAAGAAAGCATAATTAATTGAAGATGGTGTACGCATTATTACGAATAAAATACTTGTTATTATAAGAGTTATTGAAATAGATCGATGGCGAACTTGAGAATTTTGTATACTCGTCGTGCGTCGTAATCGATAAAGATGATAAACTGAAATACCATTGAATAAAATTATGAAAAATGATGGAATAAGATTATAAACACACAAATGTATTCGATGATATAAAGGATAAAGTATATATAGTTTTGAATTGGTATTAATTTGTCCATTGATATCTTGATAACAAACAAAGAGTAAAATATGAAAATTGAAAAGAAAAAAGAATCCAATGATACAACCGATCATAATTAANCGTTCATTACCATCGGAGCGCGGTCGAAAACCGATAATTTCTGTTTAAGAATAATTTGCTGACGTTGTGTTAAATTGGTTTGTCGTGCTGTAATGTTATTATTTAATTGAATCAACGATTTCGGCAGTGGTACTTGTCCATTAGCACTATCAATGAACTTCTTCTTTTGTTCAGCAATAATATTTGTATGACTTCGAACTGCCTCTTCGGCAGTAGTAATCTCTAATAGTATCATATCGTATTAGAATTGAGCAATTGTTTTCGATCGACGATAGGATAATTCTGCACGTTTATCTTCATTGAATATTGGTTGCTTTAACATCTGTTCCATATTATCAATGGAATGATCGAGTAGAACAAATGATGCAGGTAATCGTTTCGTATAGATACGTTGCTTAAGAATGGCTACCTTTTCTTCAGCTTTCAATTTTTCTCTTGTCGCTTGCCAAATGATTTTAGCCAAACAAATCTAAATAATATGATAAATTTATAGACTACTGTTAATGTAATATATTATTATCGGTTTTACCTGATCTTGAGTTGGACTCATATCATAAAATCTTTTCACACAACGATTATCTTTCACATCATATTGTAGTAATAATTTTTTATCTTCAAATTCTTTAGCTAATTTCTTTTGACCTTGAGTAACAAAAGCAGTAATAATTGTCAATAATCTATCCATATCGAATGATGTATGAATTGATTTTTGTTTGTGTTGATTTAATTTATTTTCCAATTCTTGAATTCGATCATTAATCAGTTTTTGATGTTTATTAAGTTGAATTTCTGTTTTAAATTTAAATCGACAAAGATTATTTTCTTTCACTATCTTTGTTTCCAAAGGTGAAGACCAAATAGATCCAGTCGTACATTCAGTATGATAATGTTTCCAATAGTTTTCTTCGAATTTCCAATAAGAACTATTACTCAATAAATGAGCATATGTACGAACAAAATCTAATTTTTCCGATGTATCTAATAACTGATTGATATATGCTTCTGCTTCAGTTGATGATTGTGTTAACATTTTTTTAAATATTTCATTGTCTACTTGTAAATATTTTGGTTTCTTACTATCCATTGTTAATTGAATAGTATCTGTTGTTGATTGAGTAATATCTGCTTGCTCATTGATATTATTCATGGTAGTAGTACGTTGTCGTTTCTTTGAAAGATCAGATATTGACATTTGACTCATAGACATATTTATACCTCTTGAACGTTTTTCTCCTCTACGTTTTTGAGTTTGAGGTTTTCTTGTATGTTCATTTTCTACTGGTTCCTATTACGCGAATGATTAAAAAAAATTAGAAAAATAATTGTTGATTTGAACTGTTTTTTTTTACAATAAATCTTATTTACCTGATCAACAGTAGTGACCAGAAATTCTTCTTCCATATAAGAAATAGTAGTAGTTTGTTCATTACTTTGACCTTGATTATTTTTGTTATATTGATTACGTAAATTATCCACTTCTGTTTTAGTTAATCCTTGCTTATACAATTTTGCTACATATCGTTGACGTTTACGATCACCGCGACTTTTTTTCTTCTTCTTCTTCCTCGTCGTCGTCGTCGTCGTCGTCGTCGTTTCTTCCTGTTGTTGCTGTGGATTATTACTATTATTATTAGCGCCATTTGATTCTCTTGTCGTCAAATTCTGTGGTTGTGAATGTGATAGATTTGTATGATCTTCACTAATTTGCTTTGATGAACTTGTTATCGGTTGAGATTTATAAGTGGTATGTCGATTCATATTGAATATATCTTTGATCTAAAAGGAACAAAAGAGACTAATGAATTAAATAGATGAGTAGGCATGCATCGAGCCCGAACGTTCGGGTTCGAGTTCGGTTCGAAGGTTCGGGTTCGGGTTCGAGTTTGGACTTGAGTTCGGTTTCATGGTTCGGGCTCGGGCTTGGGCTCGGAGCCGAACAGTTCGGATTCGGAAGTGGATGCTTCGGGTTGCGATCGTCATACTAAAATGTCGAATCATTGACTGTTCATCGAACAATATTAAAATATTTTTGTGTGAAGTTTCTATGTAAGTAATCAATATTGTTCAAAAATACAAAACAAGCAAATTTTCCTACACATTAACTAATTTTCAACGTCTTATTTACCTTCATTAGATAGCTTGTCCTTGAGAAATACAGAATAACTAAGATTATCCGAAGAAAGACGAGCACGTTGCTTACGTCCGTAGTACGCAGAAATACTAAATGCTGATTCGGATTTAACACTAGTGCTAGGAGAAGCCAAATACTTTTGAGCTAATGTTGCTAAATTTGGCAATACAAAACAGTGCTGCTTCCAAAACAAAAGCGGATCATATCGATCGACTGCCATTGATACGAATTGAGCAGCTGATTTTTTATACGTTTTGAATTCCTCATTCGATACTTTTGTCATAGTTGTAGTTGGTTTTTGGTTATCCTTGGCGTCTTCGCCGTCCAACGTATCAACAAAGTAATCGATCAAAGATTTCTTGGACTTTTTTCCTGTCGTGAATGAACCACTATTGGTATTTGAAGTATTATTCGAATTCGGTGTTGTCGTCGCTGATGGTTGATGACGAAGTTTCTGTTTGATTTCATATTCAATCAGATTGATTTCATTGTTTGACATAACTGACATGCCATAAGGATCGAAGTATGCGTAAAACTGAAATAAGGAAAAGGAAATTGCTCTCATGAACAATGATGCGTTATTGTTAATAAAAACTTACTTGGATGACTTTTGATTGTAAGGAATCTTGCAAATCATAATAGATCATCTTCTTCAATAAACACCTTTTCATGTTAATTAATAGTGGATCATCTGTTGGACGATAAACAGAAAGAAATTCTTTTTCAAGCCGACGATAAACATAGAAAGCAACGCCAATTGTCGAGTATTCTGTGCCACTAAGAACTTTCGTACCCCTGTAGAAAGGCTTGAGTACTTTTATGAGCATTTCTACCGTATGCCAACAATCACTACTGAATTCGTAAGAACTAAGTCTCTGTAACTGTTGCTTTGTCATATTCAAATTTGTTTTGTTTTGAAATAATTCATTAATTACACCTCGATGCATATTCAATGTTTCAAGCATCTTGTAAGTTGAATTCCAGCGAGTGCGCACATCAATAACTAATGATCGTCTGATCTGATTGTTTACATTACTTTGATTATGTTGCTCTTTTATTTTATTTAAAAAAGATGATAAAATTGAACAGTCTTTTATCATATTGATTAAATATCGGCTTTCTATGGCAACAAAACAAACATAAATGATCTCAATAGATACTCGAAAACGGAACAAAATTCTTGTAGAATAACAGAGAATAAATACTCACTTTCAATGACTAATTGAATGCGATAATCCGGTTTCTCTGATGCTAAATCTTCATCTTCATTTGAATCAGTATTGATTCCTATTTGGAAATTATCTTCATATATTGGCAATGAATCATCTTCTGATTCGCTACTGGTTGATTTGCGATCGTCATCATCTTCTTCTTCGTCGTTGCCTTGAGCATCATATGAATCGATTTCATTATTTTGTTGACTGTTCTAAACAACCAGAAAAAGATATATGATAAATGTGAGAAAGAGAAACAAGAAACTGACAATTTCTTGACTTTCTTTTTGTGAATCGACATTATCAGTAACATTGCCATCTTGATCAATATTTGCTTCACTTGCATCAAGGATATTCACCTTTTTTAATGACTGACTCAATCGTTCTTCAGGATCAATAGAAGTCTCATCGATGGTGTTCTTTTTCTTCTTATTGGACCAAACACATAAACCATTGCATATTATCAAATGAAGTAAATGTGCTTGACAACGAATACGAGATATATCGGAACGTGAGAAATAATCAAACATTTTAACCATGTTTGGCGCTGCGTCACACGTAATGCTAGCAACCTTGTCGAATAATTTCAATTCAACTAATTGTTTTTCGATTTCAGTACCAATAGAATGTGAATAATGTCTTGTTAGAAAGGAAGAAAAGCGCAAAGTTGTTGAATTTAAAACGAAGTCGTCTGTTATATAATGACCAGTTAATACTAAATAAGACACACCAGTGAGATCAGACCAGAAGTCTGTAGTAATGGAAATAGAATTCAGTTTTGTCAAGTCATCTATCATCGATCGAACATGCTTAGTATGAAGACGTTTTAATTGTTTCGAAATTGAATTTCGATGTGGAGGCGTATAGTCTAATAAATAAACATGAGCATACCAGATATAAATACAAAGTCGAATATTTCCCTACTTGGTAATGCTAACCGAATAAATTTTTTGACTCCAGATTTAGAAAAATCACCAAAACTTCGACCATCCTCTACAATTGCAGCAACAACCGCATCATCGAGTTTCTTCTTAAATTGTGAAGAAATTTTCTTGGTACTTGAACGGTTGACTAGATTTTCTTTTGGCTTAAACTCTTTTATTTGATGAGCATGTTGTAAATGCCGGATTAAAGTAGACGTCGAGCAGGCTTACCAAATCAAAATTTCAGAAATCAGGGATTTTTGAGGAAAAATCAGGATTTTATCAGGAGAAATTTTCTCCTAAATCAGGAGAAAAATCAGGAGGTTTTTGCAAATATATGAGAGGTATTATGTGGTTGCTACTAGATGGAATTTGCGTTTGGTTGATTATGAATATAAATACAAAAAAGTTTTACAGTCTTCTGCTTAAAATGAATGATAAAATCTTTCCGTTTCTTCTAGTAAAAAAATCGATAATAATATAATTTCACAATGCTCATTTCGAGATTAATTTTATACGCTTATGAGAAAACAAAGATAACATAGAAAATCAAAATTGAATTACCAATAAATATAAATAGAATATGTAAAATAGAAAATATATAACTAACCATTGACTAATGAATTCGTGGTACTTTTGCAATATGACTGTATTTATCTGACGATCGAATTTTTTTGAGTATATCGGGTTTAGTTAATAAATAGTCATAAAACTCTGTGCATGTTAGATGAGTATTGAGTTTGATCTTTAATTCTGCTCCAACTAAATCATGATTCATCTTATTTCTGTTGTTATTCCATAGAAATTTCATGTGACTAAAAACTGATTCGCAGAAGGAATTCGATGCAGGAATAGCAAATGCAAATTCAATCAATTTTCGCAAATCAGGAACATGTTCACCATCAAGCAAGAAAGCCCATAAATGATCAGATCTAATTGATATTGAGTTATTCGTTTTTTTATGTTTATAAACGTTCGCATCGGGTTCACCGTCATTGGTATCACTATCATCAAGATTATCTTGATCACAGTCATTGCATAAACTTGCTTCATGTTTAGTTGATGCTGTATTATACTTTGATTGGCCTAAATTGGAAGCAATAAAGGATTCTACTTGAGTTTTAATTCCACAAAACTTTCCTTTTAAATCAATATATTTTGATTTAATATGACTAAAATCATTATATAAATCATCAAGATCAATTGTTTGATTGGTAACTAAAGTTGAACATTGTTGAATCGATTTCCATTCAATTTTTTCGATATCAAGCTCATCAAAAATAGAAATAGATTGATAGAATGACTTATAATCATTGTAATATTTTTCAATGTAATCAATAACTGTACGAATGAATAATCGAAATGATTTTCTTAAATCTTCAGCTTGTGTAATTGGACAATTTTCAAGTAATTCTGCAACTTTATTACCAAAAAAATCATCATGTAAACGATTCTTTAATTTACGAAGTAAACTCGTAATTATACGATGAATACTAACACCAGTCGTATGATTTTGTTGTAATAATAAGTTTGCCTTTTGTACTTCTGGTAAAACATTTGCCAAGAAGAATAAAGTACATTCACCTAAAGAAATCAAGTTTACCAATGTGTATGTTGTTTCAAACTGAAATAATTACCATTATTCGATGTAAAAAATTCTAATAATAATTTCGGATATTCATCACTCGGCAAATTCAAAAAATAACTTTTAACAAACGAATGAACTCCAATGAGACGCTCGATAGATCGTAGAAGACTTAACCATCTCAATTTAATATGTTTAAGGATAACCTAAAATGAAAACATTGTATTCACATTCCAGAAGTGTTTAAAACGTGGAATATGAATATTTACTTGTTGTTCTTCGTCAATGAAATCGAAATATCTTTTTAACTCTTGAGAACGAACAGATGATCGGCAAAAGTGAGAGTATATTTTTAACAGTGCTGTTTCAACATCAAACAGCAAATGTCCATGCCCATGTTTCACGGAATTGTGTAGCACGTGACAGTAACATGTTCCTAAGTTAAAAACATATGTATAAAATGACTAATAACACCCTAGTAAAATAAGATATTTTTCACCTTTTATTACACCAGGTAGAAGTTTTTCAAACAAAGCAAATACACTATGATGATTCCCAACATTGACATTAGTATTATCAGATCCAAGTGAAACTAATTGATTCAATTTCAATTCATTCGCTTCCAAAACATATTTTATATTTGTAAATAAACCATCAGCTGTCTCGTGCATTTGTTCGATAAATTCAAGAATACCGTGTTTAACACCAGTTTTTGAAAAGAACTGTACAACAAACGGAACCATTTTAGCATTTCCTTTATTCGATGCATCATAGCAAATGGAGAAAGATGAAACGTTTTGTAATTCAGAAACGAGACTATCTGTAAGAGATGGTGCAAGTACATTACATGCTATTTCACGAGCCTAAAGGAGAAACGTGAACTATCGTAACTATAATTTCACTTCATCAGTGCTAAGCATACTTTTGTTCTATCACAGGTAATGTTTTTAACTGTATATGAATCTGGAAAACATTTTTTAATTATATCGATTGTACAGGCATGTGAAATATAACTATGAGAATGTTTAACAGTATGAAATACCATAGCACCTTCAACAGCACACAATTTATTGAGTTCACTTGTTGTTATATTTAATGATTTGTCAATTCTATGTGCTAAAAGAGGTACGAAAGCTTTCCGCAATAAAAAGAATAGCGCTGATCTTACTTGGATTAGCTTCATTAGATTTCAAACAATCTTGATGCTTCTTTGTCCGAATATGGTGATTGATGTCTCCAATTCCACTGTTTTGGATGGAGAATTGTATGTTACAAACAATGCACATGGCTTTTGTTTGATCGGTTTTACATTCGCGTAAGAATGTAGAAAAAAAAGAGTTAGATAACCATTCTTTTTTAAATTTTGAATGATAACGTTTATTTGATCGCGTTGCTGATGGCGATGAAGTTTGAGTAACAATGTTATTCGAACCAGCTTTTGGTGACAAAGAAATAGCTTTATCCAGAGCTACTGTTTTGAATGAATTTGAAACATTATCTGATGATGATAGCACATTTGTTATCTCCATAATTTCGTCTTCCGATGAACACATTATCTATAAAAACACTTGGTAAAAGTGTGAGTTCTTTTTATCAAAAGAATTTACTTTTACTCTCAAAAACTTCAAAGAACGAAAGCCTTTTTCTTATTCGCTATGATATTCATCAAATATCAATTAAATTTTTCTTTTTTTTCTTCTAGTTTATATCAACCGAAGATGTCACTAATTATCGGCTATGAAGGAAAACAAAAATCAGGAGAAACAGATAAAAATGACAAAAATCAGCTCCTGAAATCAGGAGATTTTTAATCAGGGAAAATCGGAAAAATCAGGAGACTCCTGACCAAATCAGGAGGTTTGGTATAGCTGACGTCGAGTGGCGTGGTGTCGACAAAACTTTTGTACAATTATCAATTAAACACCTTGCTTTTAACTGTTGATCGGTAACAACTCTTTCAAAGTACTTCCAAACAGATGACTGCCTTGAGGTCGCTTGTTGTTGGTTTGTTGTTTTTGGAAATACTGCTTGGTTGATGTTTGTCGAATTCTGCATCTGAAACAGAAACAAACGAGAATTGTTAATGGATCACACAGATTAGGTGTCTTTACTTGTGTTACTTTCAATTATTCGACACAAAACGACAAGTTTGAATCCTTCTGTAGAAGCTGAAGTAATGCGGATAGATAATCAATGAAAAGAAGACGAAAGCGTTGATGATAGTAAACGGGAAAATGTGATTATGGTGTTGTTCGTTCGATGGATAGAGAAATAACGATGGCAATGAACAGAAAAGCAAAAGATAATGATATTCATCGGTAGATTTGAAATGAACAGTAAAACCGTTAATTATTCACAATGGACTGTCTAGATTCTAGGCAGAGAACGAAAACAATCCGTTGACCGAAAGCATTTCACTGGTAAAGATAATATATATGACCTCTTCACATACAGAAGATTTGTCTCGTATTAATTTAAATATCGATTCATCATAGAATGGACACAGAACGGAAAAAGTATTCGCGTAATGTTATATACTTATTCTCACATGGCTCATTAAGAATAAGCAAGACGAAAATAAAGACCAATAAGTATGATAGACATACACACGTTCTCTTCGTGTGAACATTATCAAACGGGAAGGAAGTCAAATCACAGTTTTAAAATGCGACATATCGATAAAAATCTAAGATAAATATATGATGAGCTGGATCTCCTTATCCTTCTTAACGAAATGAAAAATAATAGGGTATTATGGTATGATTTGTAAATGTCGATTTCGTCTATCTGTTTATGTTTCGTGGAACAATGTTGCCATAGTTGCATTTGTACGGTTATCGAGGTTATTTAAAGCTTTGAAACAGATTTGTCACAAAATTTAATACTTACAATCGGTCGAACTTTCGTCCGAGCTTCATGTAGGCTGGATATTTCGTTGTAATATCACATAAAGTGGAGTATTATATGAAGGGAATTGAAGAATTCTATTGATGATAAGCAAATTCTTGTGCAGACTGATGGCTTGTCTAATATGTACGTCACGAATTAAAGTTCAGACTTGCTTAAAGAAACAGAACAGTATGATGCCGAACCCGAACTGTTTGGTCGCGAATTCGAACTGTTCGGCCTCGAACCCGAACCCGAACTCGAACCCTGAAACCGAACCCGAACCTAAAGCCGAACCTCAAGAGCGAATCCGAACCCGAACTCGAGCCCGAACCATTTGGCTCCAAACCCGAACTGAAGTTCGGGTTCGGTGCATGCCTAGTCTCAAAACAATTTTACGAAAATACGCAGTGCTATGACAAAGAGAAAAGAATTCAAACTGTCACGGATAAATTAACAAGTATATAGCAATGCTGAGACTTTCACTTTCCATAAACTATGAATATTGAAGGGCAGTTTTACGGTCATCTTATTACAAGTTTAGAGCAAAGATATATAGACAAAGACAAAGAAAACTTTGGTTATCAGTATTAAAACTTAAATCCTCCTGTGAGGTTCATTACGCTGTCGGTATCCCATGCTTTACGAATACTCTGAAGTCGTGCTACATTGTCCCCATACATTTCCGATAGAGTAGTACTGTCAAGAGCATAGTTAGGATAACGAATTTGTTTTGTAGCATTGCTGTTTTGTCCATTGTAAAGTGCTGCTTGTAGAATAGCATCTGCAGATAATTTAATCTCATTGATAAAATAATCGTCATCTCCAGGCAGTCGCCAGCTAAACTGGAGAAATATGGGTAGAAGAGGGGTCGTTGATGGGCAGTGTGGATAAGCACCACCCTGTGAATTGTCGAAATAAGTTGGTAAAAATGGTTCTGCAGTAAACGACACGAACGCATCGAGTTTCGAGTCAAATTTTGCTGCATTGTAGATGGTTTGATTCTTGAGTTCTTGAAACACACGATCAGTTAAATTGGTAACTGACACTGTATGGAAACGTCCGCTAGAATAACAACAAGTTAGAATAGTATATCTCGAAGGCTAAACACCATCTCTTCCAGTGTGAGAGAGATTTACTTACCGTCGACCATCGGTAACATAGATAGGCACAACTTTAACGAATGAAAGAAACGAACGAGTTTTGAGAGTTCCCATATGAGGAATATTTGTAAACTTCTTAAATGTATCATCGGGAGCTCTTGGAGCATCATAGAAGAGAGTTATGTCGAACGTGATCAGTCCTGTTTGGTGAGTGAATGAGACCAAAGCTTGTGCTTTGGGATCTTTGTTATTATCTCGAAAATCCATAACAGCTTTCAGGACGTCATCAAAGCGCCGTTCATCGATATAAACAAGTAGACCGCCATAGACTTGAGTTTGTGGGTGAGCACGTAATCTGAAATTGGTGACGATACCAAAATTGTTAAAACCGCCTTTTAATCCAAAGAAAAGGTCGGGATACGAGTTATTCGTTACATCGACAATTGTACCATTCGGAGTAACAAGCTAAAAAAAAAGATAATAATGGAAATAGCTCCATCTAATTTCTACCTCATAGCCGATAACATTGTCAATAGCAAGACCAAATTGATTTGATTTCCATGAATAACCACCACCGAGAGTGAATCCAGCAACGCCAACGCCCGAGACACGACCGCCGACAACATTGATGCTGTGTGGCTCGAGTACCTTGTACACATCGTCCCAGAAAAGTCCTGGGCCCACATCAACTGTCTGATTGTCCGCATGAACAATAACGTTGGAAAATCGTCGCATTGCAATATGAACACCTGTCGTCGAGCTAAACCCAGGATTTGCACTATGTCCACCGCCTTTCACAGCAAAAGGAACTCGGTTTTCACGGATAATTTTCATCTAGATATCAATTTTTATCGTTTTGCGGTTGATGAAAAGCAGTTATTCGACTTACAATGACAGCGACATCATCAGCCGTCGAAGGTTCGACCGTACAAGCCGGATATTGAGTTGACGATATAGCATAGTGCTTGATATCTTCAAAGTAATTTGGATCGGGTGAATAGAATACTTGGGTATGGCTAGTCTTGTTTTTTATGCTCTCGCAAATATCCTTGAGGTTATTATCGATTCCTACAAATCATACGCAGTCTGCATCACTAGACGATCGAAGATGAAAAACACTTACCCTTAGGCTGCATTGCAGCAGGAATGATTGAATAAGCATTAGTGAACGAGATGAGCACTAGTACACCAATGTGGATGGTCCATTGAATTCTTGAATTCATAACTTGCCTGCAATGTTTTCTTTATCAATGTGAAAATTATTATCCAATGTTAATTTACCTTTTAGTCATGTTTAAAAATGTGCAATCATCAAGATAACTTTTCTCAGCTACTTGGAATCGAAAATGCACTTCTAAGTGAAATCTCAAAATACCTTACATGTCTTCCAGTTAAAAGTACGAACAGATATCAGTACTTTTTTGAGACAACCTTTTGAATTTTTGTGTAACAGAGCGGGGGTTGCAAAAAGAAAACAGAAAGAACGAATAAGCAAAAAAAGATAAATAATAAATGGGAGTAGAAGATAAGATGCGCATGTTTTGCTACTAAAATTAATACGGCCTGCTTATGAAGTGCTTCGCATATTACTCTTTTCTAATGTATATTGAAAAACAGAAGGCCTCTTGAGACTAAGCTACATTACCAAGATTGAATACTAATCTACGGATATCCATATCCAAAAACGCTTACGAGATGTAGGTGAATAGTCATATTTAGATGTGTATCAATAACAAAACAATTTCTTTCACTTGAACGACGGTAGAACAACCGTACCGAATATGGAATTACACCGTTACTCTATCCTTTGCCGTGTTCTATACTCATCGTTTCGAACTGGAACACTGGAAAACATCACAGCTTTAAGAAAAGTCATGTTTGTGCAAACGATTTTCTGAGTGCAAATACATTAATCACAAGAGTGAGTCATAGAAACTATCTTAATCGGAAATAGATGTTTTAAGGTAATAGAAGTTAACAGCAGATTTTAATATTTCTTGGTGACATTCGCTCCAGTACTTGGGATGAGTCTGAAACTCCAGAGATGAATAGATCTCGTCATTTCGTATTGAAATATGTAACTGAAATAGGATGTCTCTTGTGAAGCCTAATGAAAGTAGATTGTGAGCGTACTTATAACATGATAACCATGTAGGTTATCTGAATGGGCGTACATGCATATACTTTTGAAACGGTAACAATTAATAAGAGATAGTGTGGAAATGTTCTTTCTTGAAGGAATTGAAAACAATCAATTAGCTGGATTTAGGATAGTTGCCCATGTCAAAGCGGTACGGCAGGATCAATGGTCTTCCGACGATTTCCTGTAATGGGAATCTAACTTCGTTTCCGGCGCTGTTCCAGTTGATTCATTGACGCAGATCGCATTTTTCGTAATGGTTACGAACATATGAGCCGATATTTTCAGGTTTTGAATCATTCAAAAATATCTTATCCATTAATGTGCGTTTAAGTGCAGAGAAATGATGAAAGCCTGTCGCTAATTGCGACGGTGAATATTTGTCTGCATCTGATTACTCACCAGACTGATATAACTGTTCGTAAATGTTTACTTTGTAAGTGATTCTTTATTTAAAATTGAATGGTTCTCATCGGAAGCCATGCAAACTTCTCTTAAATGCTGTTGAAAAATATTTTTAACCCATTTCTCAATTGTAAAAATACACAATCGTACGAAAGAAGTGCTCGCTTATGGTTATGCTATGAATTGGTTATTATCTGAAAAGTTCTCATATGATTAGTACACCCTTTCAAAATCTCAGAACAATACGTGAATTTTAAATCCCCTATTCAAATTAATATATGTGTTGGTAAAACAAGTAACGCTCGTCTAGCGACTCGCTCAGCTCTTTCTCGTAGAAATCGTGCTTTCATATATTACACTTTAAAGTTATTATTGTGTATATTAATTTATTTTTAGTGTAGATTGGATATTTATACCTAGTATCGAATTGAGAACCAGATATTCTAAATAAGTATCAATACTATTAAGTAGATTATGAGTTATGACATGAAAAAAGAAAATAAGAAAACACGATAGGAAATATCTGCTACAATGATTAAGATAAATGTGTAAAGAAAGAGGTAAAAAATGAAAATATACGATTAATAATTTAAAAATAATTGGAACAACGATAATACATTTTATATGCTTGTAATAACACTAAAATCTTAACAGTGTATCGATTTATACACGTTCAAAAAGCGAAAGAGGCACATTCTCGGTTTGTATTTTTGCCAAGTTCATCTAGACGTTTCAGTTCAGCGTCTTGAACAAGAGAGGGTCGAACTTGTAAACAAGTTATAAATGTTTTTCCGAAAATGGGTATCCTTGGTTTGAAAAAAGTTTTTTATTGGTGAAAAATTTCGAGAAAAATAACATCAGATTTTAATTCCTCGACCCAAAAAACTCATAGGCCATACTTTTAAGAAAGAGATTTATATTATTGGTTTCATCTGATTTTTCGACGAATCAGTGAAGTGCGGACATACAAGCAAGCAAACAATTTGTGTTTCTAAGACTCTTCTCTACGAGAAAGAGAATAACAAAATGAGCTTGTGTACATACATATAATCGATATAGAATAATTAAATAATATGAGTCAGTGTTATGCATGAATGATGAAAAATCTACGTCATAGCACATCATGGGAAGTAATATATTTAAAAAAACGATGTAGTATATGTGTATTCGTTGTTTGTTTAAACATGAGTATCAATGATGAATGGATAGAAAAACAAGGTTTGTCAATCGATCGAAAAGAAAAACAATTGTCAACTGATAGTACTATTATTTGGTTAAATAATTCGACTGAAAATTTCGAAAGAAAATATGAATCCATGGTATTTCCCAATGCAAAATTATTCAATAATATAGATGAATGTTTGGAGTATATTACTAATCTTCAAAATGATATTCGAATTTATCTTATTGTTAATTTTTTATCTTCGGCGAATTGCGAGAAATTTGAACATCTTCTATCGACTCTACAATCTCTAAAAAATGTACATCGAATTTATTTCCAATATAATTCCAATGAAATTAGACGAATGCCTGAATCGCTTAAAACAAAGAATATCATGTCACCTATACAATTAAAACGTGAATTAATTTCGAGTGAAGAATATGCATCGCTTGCTTTCAACGTGATTAACAAAGAAAACATTTGTTTATCATTAAATGAACAAAAAAGAAACGAACAAGAAGCAGGTTTCATGTATACATGTTTATTCAAACGACTCGTTCTTGATATCAATGTGACAGTAAATGAGGAAATTAAAAGAGAAGAAATGCTTTCTTATTGTAGAAAATATTTTGCTCGGATCAATAATCAATCGGCGTTGACATTTCTCGCTAGATACGAACAAAATGAAGATCATCATTCAGCTCTTTGGTGGTATACTTGTGATGGATTTCTTTATAAAATGCTTAATGAAGCTTGTCGTGTTCAAGATATAAAAACAATGTATGCAATGCGTGTATTCATTCGACATCTACATCGAGAAATAGATCAACTTTCCTCATTAGAATCTCATCAACAACAATCTATTTTCACTCTTTATCGCGGACAACAATTAACGACGTCTGCTTTTAATGAAATTCGATCGAAAATTGGTGGACTTTTGTCAATCAATAGTTTCTTTTCAACTTCTTTGGATAAACAAATAGCTCTTTTATTTGCTGGAATATCTGATGGAATTAACACGGTATCGGTTATATTTGAAATTAATATACCAAGGACAAATGCGAAAATAGGTTCTTTCGCTGATATTGATTCAGTTAGTGCATTTGCTGGAGCCGAGAAAGAATATCTTTTCTCGTTTGGAAGTGTTTTTCGTATTGAAAATGTAAAGGAATATCCCGAATTTGGTAATGGAATTTGGTTTATACAAATAACACTTACTACGGATAGTGATCTCGAACTGAGTACTCTTACAGATTATATGTGGAATTATAATTTACAGGGTCGTATTGATTTGAGTAGTTTTGCACGTCTTATGTATGATATGGGTAAAAATGATAGTGCAGAAGAAATCTATTCAATCATTCTAACACAAGTGTCTTCTCGTGACGATTTTGGTTTTGTTTTACATCAATTGGGATGTATTGAAAAAATGAAAGGACATCTGGAAGATGCATTGAAATTCTATCAACAATCCCTTCGATATCTGCCACAATCAGGGCGCGAGAGAAGCTTTTCAACTGTAGCAACTCTATACGAAATTGCTACAGCCTATTGTGATCAATGTAATTGGGATTCTTCTCTTCAATATATTCAACGTGCTCTCACAGAGATCGCTAATCGAGATGAAACAATAAAAGCTCAATCAGAAATCGAACAAGAATCAAGTTGCTTGCATATGCTTGGAACAATCTATCTCGAACAACATCGACTTGATGATGCGATCAAATATTTTGAACAAGCACTCGAGATACGACATCAAATTTTACCATCTCTACATCCTGCTTTAGCTGTATCATACAATGATCTTGGAATCTTATATCACAGACAGAAACGTTATGAACAAGCTTTATCTGCATATGAACATTGTCTGGAAATTCGACGACGTGTATTGCCAGAGACACATTATGCATTAGCAATTATCTATAATAATATGGCCAATACTCTCTATTGGTTAGAACGAGATCAAGAAGCATTAGGAATGAGCCAACGTGCTGTAGACATTAGTATAAAGTCTCTTGGTGCTGATCACCCGATGACAATGACCTTTCGCGATACTTTCGAAGGTATTTCTGCTTCAAATAATGAACATTAATTACAGTAAAACTTATCTAATGTGAACATTGTTCGGACCGACGAAAATCGTTCAGTATAATAGGGCGTTCACACAAGAGGGGTGTAAGCAAAAATGGTGGTATTTTTACCATCATCATAATTCTTGAAACGAGAAGAGCTTTTTTATACTTTATCACCATTTTATTTCAGAAAGTCCGAATATTTATAATTAAGGCATTTTAACAGATTAATACAAAGTTTCACTACAATGACTTGAAAAATTCATGAATAGATCTTTGCTTCGATACTTTCTTATCGAGAAACACGTCTCTGAGCTTTGATTGAAGATGAAGGATGAAGGGATGTGATTCAGGATATTGATTAGTTGAAAGTAAATGCAATCGACGTATCATATTAAGAGATTCCGATAACAATGGTGATATGTCAGCAGTTAGTTGTTCTTCTTGAAACGTATCCTCAGTTGATGTATATTCCACTGATAAGATCTTTTCATAATCATCGTTCCATTCGTTGCATACGGGAACATTATCGTCCACACTCTAATGTGTCAAAGAGTCACATTCAGTAGAATTTCAAATCATAAACTGAAAATATTTATCGAATGCTTACTACAAAATCATCAGCTGATATTGTCTCACCACCGACCGTCAAATGTTTCAATACTTTATCGAGTTCAACCATACATTTTGCCTCTTGTACAACAACATCTTCATCAATCAATGTACCCGTTGGAATCAAAATTCCGGCTTCTCTAAAGGTATTCAGTAGAGTCGTTCCAGTAATCGACTTCCAAGCAAAATCAGTCCAAAAGATCGCGTCTAAACCTGTAATGCAAAACATCATCAGCAGAATGAGCATGATGACAATTTATAATAATACGTTGAACTAATTGTCGACGATAATAAGCCTTAAAGTTTCGGATCACGCCCTGGTCCATGCGTTCAATACGAGAAGTCGTATTACTTGGAAAAAAATTAACAGTAATATTTTTCAAATCAATATCTGTCGGGTGAGCAGGCGCATTATCCATGGTTTAGCAATTATTCTCGCATGGATATGTCCAGAAATAATTCTTGTTTTCTATACAGTTTATCATTATAAACATAAACAACGAACTATTGTTCATCCTGAACGACTTTCATTGCGTAGTAAGATCTATCAATTCATATTCAACAACTTCTTCAGAAACGCAATGCCATGTTATCTTTAGAATTATATTATTAATTCTTATCATTGATATTATTACTAAATTATGTATTTATTTGAATCAACAAGTATAATATAGTAAATCTATACAAATCCGCTGTTTATTAACAAGTAACGCTCGTCTAGTGACTCGCTCAGCTCTTTCTCGTAGAAATCGTGCTTTCATATATTACACTTTAAAGTTATTATTGTGTATATTAATTTATTTTTAGTGTAGATTAGATATTTATACCTAGTATCGAATTGAGAACCAGATATTCTAAATAAGTATCAATACTATTAAGTAGATTATGAGTTATGACATGAAAAAAGAAAATAAGAAAACACGATAGGAAATATCTGCTACAATGATTAAGATAAATGTAAAGAAAGAGGTAAAAAATGAACATACGCGAATAATTATTTTAAGATAATTTGAACAATGATAATACATTTTATATGCTTGTAATAACACTAAAATCTTAACAGTGTATCGATTTATACACGTTCAAAAAGCGGAAGAGGCACATTCTCGGTTTGTCTTTTTGCCAAGTTCATCTAGACGTTTCAGTTCAGCGTCTTGAACAAGAGAGGGTCGAACTTGTAAACAAGTTATAAATGTTTTTCTGAAAATCGGTATCCTTGGTTTGAAAAAAGTTTTTTTATTGCTGAAAAATGTCGAGAAAGTAATATCAGATTTGAATTCCTCGACCCGAAAAACTCATAGGCCATACTTTTAAGAAAGAAATTTACATTATTAGTTTCATCTGATTTTTCGACGAATCAGTGAAGTGCGGACATAAAAGCAAGCAAAAAATTTATGTTTCTAAGACTCTTCTCTACGAGAAAGAGAATAAAGTGACAATCTAATAGATAACCACCATAGTATTATATGCGATGTATTGTTTTTATTCTGTTGTTTTTATTAACTCTGAGTTCTCATGAGGTGTTTGATTTAATCATAATAACGCAAAATACAATTTATGCTTTGTGGCGAAGTTCATTTTGCTGTGAAACTTTAGCATAGTAACATAATATCATGAACAAAAAAGCATTGTGCATTGAAGTGTAACAAAATACGCTTCCAAATTGCCTCATAATTTCCTTCTCATATGAACTAAGGCTTTTGACGTCAAACATTCAATTTTCCAATGGTTTGTCAGTCATAAACAAAAACAGTAGATTTCATATCAATCTACAATCCGATTACATATCACGTCGAAAAAGAAAACTGAATTCTCAGTATGCCTTTCGCATTAACAATAGTGACCTGTTTCTAAAACATAAAAATACGGCAAATATTTCGATTACTCAACTCTTTACAAGGGGAAAATAGCAAACTCGAAATTTCTAACAGAAGTTCTAAAACTCTTGAAGTAGCGGCGTACAGTCTAAACTACTCAGAGCAGATAAAATATGCCGCAGGCCAATGTGCAGTATATACGGGAGTACGGACTGAAGTATGTGAATTTTATCCAAAAATCTCATATTGATAAATCTGTGCTCCCACACTCCAAGTCGTACTTCCGTACTCCAATTGCAATTCAGCACTATAATCAATCGTGCATCTTCCCTAGTAGATTTAGTGGCTGAACAGTGTTATAAATCTCACTGGAGCATGACTAATGAGGCGTGGTTGCCGCAGAATCCTTCAAATGTTGATTATGGTCAAATCTATAAATTATATCCTGCCTCAGCTTTATGTATGATGCAATCTTTTGTGGGCAAAACATCCCTAGGCATCGAAGAGTATATGATTTCATACAAAATAAGCTAATGGAAAAATAAAAACGAATAGAGTTTTGATAGTACTGGAGTACCGTTTCCCCTTTGAAGGAACTTTTTTTAGTTGAGTGAGAGGTTAGCTGATCGAAAAGAAAACAAATAATATACAAATTACGTACGAAAAAAAACATATATGAATTTCTTTTCTTTTCTTAGACAGAAAAATGCGGACAGAGAACTATGAGAATAATACAACAAAAACAAAATGATTACATAAAGACAGATTTGCAAATAAATATAGATAAAGTAAAAGCATTTTCACATACTCATTCGTATGCGAAAGATGTAAATGTTTATTTCTCAGTTCGCATGGTCAAATTGTTTTGGTTTGATAAAACAGTTTTCGATTGTAGATGCGTTCTGTTAGAGCGAATCGATAATCCAATGTGTTCAGCGGGACGTTTCATAACTTCTATATTTGTCGGTGCCATCATTCTTCCTCTTCTTCTTGTTATGCTGCTCATCAGTTCATAACGAAATTCAGTAAATGTAATTAGGTAAATTGGCAAATTTAAAATAGGGAATGTGTATTGAATTATATCAATTGCATAAATTAGATGTAGACCCCAGTCAGTTGCATAAAGCGAACCATAAAAGAAAGCATAATTAATTGAAGATGGTGTACGCATTATTACGAATAAAATACTTGTTATTATAAGAGTTATTGAAATAGATCGATGACGAACTTGAGAATTTTGTATACTCGTCGTGCGTCGTAATCGATAAAGATGATAAACTGATATACCATTGAATAAAATTATGAAAAATGATGGAATAAGATTATAAACACACAAATGTATTCGATGATATAAAGGATAAAGTATATATAGTTTCGAATTGGTATTAATTTGTCCATTGATATCTTGATAACAAACAAAGAGTAAAATATGAAAATTGAAAAGAAAAAAGAATCCAATGATACAACCGATCATAATTAAAACATTTTTGGATTGATTAAACCAAGTATTTGGATTTAAACGACTTAAAACTAGATATCGATCAAAACACACAAATACATGTAACCATGCCGAAATGTGAAGTGTAAAATAATTAAAAAATAAAAAGAATTTACATGATGCAATTGTATATGAAGAAGTTAATGTAAATCCATAAACAATACCAAAATAATTATCTAAAGTCCATCCATATAATCCGAGAAAATCAATCATTGCTATTGCACGAATATAATGAATCGTCGAACGAACTTGAGCATTTCGAAATCTTGCTCGACATAATACAATGAATATTAAAAGATTAAATATTGTACCAATAATGACCATTAATAACGAATAATAACCCGCAAAAGTCACATCATTTGAAGATGAATACATACTTGTAGCATTTGAATTATTTGTAGTTGCCATTATGTTGAGAATGATAAACTGTATATTTCTTACAATTATTTATATTCAATAGAATAAGAAGAACACCAGCTTTTTAGAGCTTAGAGATTTATTTTATGAATTTTTAATCTATTTATCTTTTAGTTATAAGTTGAAAGGCAGCTTACGTCAGCACGTATATTTATATTAATCGTCTTTTAAGCTGACTGAAAATGTCATGTTTCTGTATAATATAAACCATGATTTCGTGATAAACGAGTTTTGAATTTTGTGAAAAAAAATGATTTCAAAATGATCTCCTATTGCCGTATAACGATATGATAAATTCGAATGTCTCTCGTTTTGCTGAAATAGAATACTCTAACAAAAAAAAAATGATATATAAATTGTAAAATGCTGACATATAAGAGCAAACTACTGAATTGAGAAAGTAGGTTTTCAGATTTGGAAAAAGGAAAATTCTGATCTACAACTTTCTAGTTCGATTGTTCTAATAAGCGCATTGGAAAATGCTTTATTAGTGAATTATGCAGCATATTCTTCCATGTCATACTTTTTGTTTCACTTGGAGACATGTTGGAAATTAATAAAATGATTTTTTGAAGGCTTTCTACTTTATTAGATGGCTACTAATAATATTACTGTTACAGGCATGTATATATGCATGCTTCCACTGCGACAGATTCTTTTCCTCGGTTTACGAATAAACAGATTGAGTTTCACCTGCCGATCGAAATCATCGCTAATAATTACGTGCTTATAAAACTCTTCTACACTATTGTCTGTCGTAGAACTAATGAGAAAATTTATCCATAGATTGCTTTAAGCACGTATTTGATGTCAAAACTAGCGAAGATATCTGATGGCAAGTGAGTGTATACGTATGAAAATTTTACATGGTGCGAACAGATAGATGTGACAGTTTCTGGTACAAAGAATGAGATGTACTGTATGTATTCTCTATCTCATCCAAAGAAATCGTACTTATACTGTACTTTTCTCGTCTTTATATAGTCCTTGGTGTATATCGTATCGCGCTGCAGAAAAATACCAAACTTTCTAAAGCAGTATCTAATATCTATTGCTATCACTCGGTGAGGTAGTGGGTGAAAACATCATGCAATCATTAGCCTCTTCTAAGGAGAGTTAATCTCTCGTAAACATGAAGAGAAAGCAGAAACATAGCATGCGTAAGAGTGGACTGCTAATGTCGATATCATTTAGGTATCTCACTCGGGAACGATAACTGCGTCCATATCATGTTGGATACATAAGCATACAAAGGAAGGAAGAAAGCAGGTAGTGGCTATATATGAGAAGACGGAGAGAAGAAGAAGAAGGGAAAGAGGTTAAGAAAAAGAGATAAGTGTCAGCGTTATATTGTTGTAAGGACATTTGTTGAAATTGGACCTCGAAAATAAACCGATGGTAAACGAGGTCATCGAATGAAAACACATAATGCTAATATGACGAATAGTAATGTGATGGTAATGAGAGTAGATATGTTGAGAAGATGAATTGAGTGTCGATGTAAATCGTGTAATGAAGACATCAGAGCCCTCAGCAGACCAGGCAGGCCAGCTGAAACGGACCGGCCGCCTGTCCTAATTGGTCTTTGTCCCAAACTAAGATTCGCTTAAAAGAATCAGAGATTCCTATGGATGTCACTACACGTTGAGGAAGTTTTTCAGCAATATGTCTGATAGAAATCTCAACCAATAGCAAATTTATGTGCTAATTTTTCTTTCTTTTCCTTCGATTCTGTCAGTACTACGACTATTCTTCCGTCACCATTTTCTTTATTCCTTGTCGAAATTATCGACTGTCACTTATATCGCAAATGTCACGGTACATATAGTCGAGTTATTGGCTTCAAAGCTGTCTTCAGTTCAAATCCACATACACGTTTCATTCGGATGGAAGTGGTAGTATAAAACATTTATTATGTCATAACTGTCCAAAAGTTTCGTCAGCATTAGAGACTGACGTATCAGGAAGGGCCCATAGAAAGATTGATTAAATCGAAAAGTATAAATTCGGCGGAATGTGAGCGTGGTTTCAGCACTTTGAATTGTATATAAACAAATGGTCGCTCGAGACTCATGATTGGCACTCTGAATACTTTACTGGCTGTTTGCCTGTCTTTGCTCGATGATATTTGAAGGTATGCACGAGATAATACAAGAGATTTTTCTTCTAATGGTTGGTTATCTTCAGCAAAAGATGTCATCAAGTTGTTGAGAAACCATTTGATCTTTGGAATAATCCAAATGAGAACCGTCGATGGAAACGAACAAAATTTATAATAGATGTACCAGACGACTATGAATCAGAGAGGCAGACTCGTGAAAGTAGTACAAAAAAAAAGAAGAGATGAAATAATAAAAAACCATGGTCTTAGTTCAAGTAAACCGAAAGAGCGAAAATCAACAGCTGTGAAATACGTCAATAGTTGTCGTCAAAACGAGTATAATTCTTGGATGAATGATAATGAAGGATGTTCCAAGCGAATTATCGTCGGATCAAGTTATCAATTTCAACAGGTTCGTTAGCTTGGTTTTGCGATGATCATGTTAATATGTATATTTAAGATGATAGTATTGAAGAAAAACAATCACCTGAACTGATTCAAGACATGCATAGTGAATAATCTGAAGCTGAACATACGTAGATCGACAAATGTATATATTTCTTTGTTTTTTTCCAAATAACTTTGAAAACTATCACTGAAATTCAAATAGGTACATATTAGCACGAATCTTTTTCCAGCTGTTTTTCCATGAAGATTGATTAAACGTAATCTATTTCATTTATTTATATTTATTAAGCTTTGAAATGAAAACGTTTACAAAGAAGGTATTAATTACAGTCAATATTCTTTTGTTTTTTTTAGATTTTGCACACTGCGTAAAGTTTGTCGGAAATTTTAGAGTGCGCGAAACAATTAGGTTAAAAAGACAAATTATCAAAAATTCTCATTAGAAACACTGATAAGATGATCAGAAAAATCGTCAGAAAGGATTATCTTCTCCAGATAACAATATCATGTTTATTTGTTTTCCTCAGGACTTAACATAGTCATATATTTGGTTGAAACTGTGCGTACCGAAATTAACGCTATTGGTGATCGACGGCTTTCTCCACTCCGTCTTGCTTGCGAATATGGAAATCTTAAGGTAGTTAAATATCTTGTTGACAAAGGTGCTTCAACTACATTACGTAATGCATAATTCTACGATTGTCGGGAAATTCCTATTCAAAAGCAGAATGAAGAAGTAGCGCAATATCTGTTACAACGATCTAATTGGAAAGAAATAATGCGCAATGCATAATCTATTAATCATACGGACGCTTATGACACACCAATGAGAAAATTAATTCGGTACACGTCTGAAGTAACTCTTTGGGTGACCGATGGAAAACTAACACAAACAGTTGGTGGTGCTGATCAAAAAACTCTTCAAGAAATCTATGATTACGAGTTCTATGAAGACATATATGCAGTTAAAGATTAATATGCTTAAGGTATGTTGATAAGAGAAACTAAAGTTAAACTACTTTTTGAAAAACATTTTGAAATATGACAGAAACCTGTTTTTGTTCAAATCCGCCAAAGCACAATGTCACAAACTTGGTGTTAATGCTATTTTCGGTTGTTATTCTAGAGACGCATGCTGCAATTCAACTGTTCAAGACGACAATTATAATATATAAGAAATGTATAGTCTTGACTCTTACACAATAGTGCGAAACCATCCTTTGTTTATTTTTTATTTTTTCTATTTTTTTCATTTAGTTTATTGTGCCATCAATCGGTTCACAAGTGTACTGTTAGAAATGGAGTAAGAAGAGAAAGAGTAAGAAATGGGAAAAGAGAAATGATGCGTGTTGCTAGAAAGAAGAAGAGTTTGTACAGTTTAAAGCGTAGGGACAAGAAGAGAAGAGGAGAAAGTATAGATAAGGAAAGTAATAAAACATCACTGCTCTCTTCTTGTTCTTCTCCTGTGAATTCAGAAAGGATATAAACGTGGTATGTGATATATAGCGACAATGAAAGAAGAAGAACAAAGGCCCGCATACGACATCTTCTCTTTAATTGCGGAGGTCCCAGTACGCTAATTCGATATCGGCTGGATGAGTCACTGGTATGTTACTGTATGTGTACACATTTCATTCAAATCAATATTCGATCAAAAGACGCTTGTAAAATGTTTGTATTTGCGCACTTTTTCCATTCTTATCACGTATTTTTTTACCTGCTTTATCAAATTATGGAATGGTCAAACAAGTGCGCGATCCTTATCCTTGTATTACTTAACCTTGAACGGTACGTATCGCTTTCTTTTATTTCGAGTCGGATAGGTTCTGTTTTTGTTGTTGTGTAGCGTGTGCTTTGTTGCTAAGTTCTTTCATCTATCGGTTGTATATAATATTTGTATATGAACATGTTTAGGTATTGGGTATCGTTTTTGTATGCCATTAGCTGCTGTTTGTGTTCGTTTTGAAACATTTTCCAATCCCTTAGGGAATGTTGTACGCGTTCAATTAGTCTCGTAAGAAACCGATTGTTCTTACCTAGATCAATATTTCTTCTCCATTCTGTATCGTGATCTGTTAGTATTTGGAATGCCTTCCATGATTGTTGAAAGTTTACTGCTTCGCTTGCTTTTTCGAGATGTAAACATAGGCGTGTCCAGTACGAGTAGAGATAGTCGCGCAAACTTTTCTCCTGGCTTAATATCAGTGTGGTAACGTCGTCCCAGCCATAAATCGAGTATGTTAATCTAATTCCTGAGCAGTAGACGTGTTCAATTGACCGCTGTTGGCGCTCCGTGAAATAGAACCAGGTTGAGAACAGCCAGTAGAAATGTGGAAGTGCATAGCCGAGAAAAATCTTTCGACGAACGTCGGTGTGCTCTATAGAAATTGTTTTATATATTTGTCGTAAACCTTTGTAAATGTTTCTTATTTTGCGCAGTCTTTCGTTTATGTAGTATCCCCAGCCGAGCTTCGTTGATATGTGTACACCTAGGTATTTGAGGGATTTGACATGTTCGATTTTTTGATCTTGATATTGTACTTTCGGTAGACTCGGAGCGACCGCGCTATGCACGAGGAGAGCTTTCGTTTTCGCGACGTTTACAGGTAGTATTAGCTCATTTGAGTATTGTTCCAGCTTCATCATGCTTGTGCTCGCTTGTTTTTCCAAATCAATAATGTTGTCGGAGAGGCGTTTCTCAATAGCTCCGTCGAGAACGATTGCGAGGTCGTCTGCGAACATGTGTACTGACGTTCCATTGGAAATAGCTGGTAGAAAGTGAATATGGAGTCGGAAAAGTGTAGCAGCAAGAACTGAGTCTTGAGGCGCACCTAACAGCATTTGTATTGTTCTTGAGTTTTCATCTCCGTAAGATAGATAGAGCCAGCGATTCGTTAGCCAGGAATGCACCCACTTAAGAAGTGGGAGAGGCATTCCAAGTTCGTTTAGGTTCCGTATCAGCGCTGGGTGCCACATTCGGTCAAAAGCCGAGGCAAAGTCGACAAAGATCGCTAGTGCAGGTCTGTTGCAGGCTGTCGTTGTTAGTCGTAAGTTTTCGATTAGTGAGAGAGTTCTGGTTTGTAGTCTTCGGCCTTGCATGAAGCCGCTCTGTTCATCGACCGCAATGTTGAGTTCGTTGCACCATTTGAGAATCCGGGCATGGATGATTCGTTCGAACCATTTAGCCAGATTGGGAAGCAATGAAATAGGTCTTAATTTGTTGACGGTTGGAAATAGACCATCTTTTGATAGACAGATTACTTTGGCAATTTTTCCTTTGTCAAAGAAGTCGCCATTTTTCGCACATTTGTTAAATAGTGTGGTAATTATTGCAAGATATTCGGCCGGTAGTTTCTTCAGAATCAGAGCAGACGTACCAGTGCTGTCAGTTGACTTCTTGGGCTGGAATTTCATCCATTCACGTTCCACCTCTTGGTATGTGGTTTGTTCAAGTGGTACTTTGGGAAGATATTTGAAGTTTTCGAAGATGTCCATCGCTTCCTGGTGAAGTTTGTTCGAAGTATCGTGTTGAGGATTAGCGAAATGCTTTTCGTAGTGGTCAGCTAGTATATTTACAAAAACCATCCTTTGTTTATTGTATCCGAATTTGCTCGCACCTCGGTTTCATACTCTTTTACGCAAAAAATGTCTCGACAATTCAGTACATATTGGTTGGCGTTTTCATTGCTTTTCTATATTATCCTACTCAATTTGTGGACTGCAGTAGTTTGTAATGGAAAATACTCTCAATATTTCTATAATTTGGCTGGCTATAGTTTAACGATGAATATCGATACATGTAAACAAGTTACTAATAGTCTCGTCTCTCAGAATGTCAAAGAAGCATTGAAGAGTGATTTCTATCGACAGGTTCGAATAGCTCTTTACATACATTTTTTGGGTGTTCATTGCTAAGCATGGTCTTCCAATTATCGCCCTCATACTCTCTTTTGCCTATACACTAGACTAATATGACTGGCAGAGTCCAGTAAACTTTCGATGTTTTGTTCAATATTAACTTGGATCGATGGATCTTCTTCTTGCTTGAATGAATGTCGGTTGTATACTTTGATTGGGTATTGGTATCTATGCTTCAACTTATCTGTCTTAAATTTCTTCCGTTTTTATCTGTGTCACTGATTATCATATGCGGATTTCAATTTACTTTTTGGATGTTATTACAAAATCAAAGTCCATATGGCACATCTATCGAACTCTAATAAGCACAGTTTTAATGATGTTCGATTTAGATTATAAAGATCGACTTTACAGTGGCTGCAGCGATGTAGCATATTATCAGCTTGTATATGTCGTTATGATCTTTACAGTTATGGGTTTTTTTTTTCATTTTCATTATTAATCTACTGATTGGTAAGAATATTGTGATCTTTTTAAAACTTCGCATGAAATAATGATCAATTTTTCTCCACTAAGTCATGTTGTTGGTGAAATTTCAGGCTTAATGGATGAAGGTTCTCTTTGACGTAACAAAATGATCTAAAATTTTGTATCCGACGGTGAAATCTTACGTTTACAGTTTCATCGATTCTTTAAATTTATAAGTTGCCACGATAAAAATCTACTTCGATGTATACATACTCGACCTATTGTCCTTTTAACATACGACGAAAGAGATCATGGTTAGTTTCAAAGAGCATGACATTACGCAAACTAACATTTTTTTGAAGAAAATATACAGAATGGTGTCGTGCACTACGAAAAGCTTCTAAAGAAAACTACTAATGAATATCCAATTCGTACAAATAAACTTATATACTAATTGAACTGCACATTATTGTATATAATGTACTAAAGAATTTATATCTTATTCAAATAAAGAATTATTTTTATTACTATGAAGTGATAATTTAGTGTTATTTTTTGTTTACAGACAAAGATTTCACATCTATTGTCCATTCTCTTTCAAATACACATAACCCAGGATGTGATTATAATTTCCTAATTCATATTTATTTGAGAAGAATGAATAAAATTTGTCCATTTTTTGCTATTTGTTCTATAACATGAAGCACTGAATGTTACTAATATATAAATAATGATTTTTTTCTCCTATGAAAAAAGGCGTTGTTCTGTCAGGTTTTTTTTAATGTCTGTTCTTGTGTCGTCGTGTCATCAAATGCATATTTTCATAAGTAATATACAATAGAAACTATTCGTTCTCTCATTATGTGACTTCGTAAATGAAAACAAATTTGATACCAATTTGTCAGTCAAAAACTCAATCACATGAATATAGACCTTTTGAATATTTATCCGGATAAAGCAAATGATAGTAGTGTTATAAGAGAAATGATATGACACCTACAGATTCATTGACATGAGTAAAGCACATGTGTGTAGGAGTCCGTGGAAAATATGATATGCATTACATTAAAAAGGCTGATTGCGTATGAATGACGCTTGTTGGATAATTATGAAGTCATTACACCTGTTTTCAATTATTCATTGATAAAATAAATAGTAAAATACGCGTGTGAAAAGAATAATTTCACGAGTAATGTTGATGAAGGCGTCGATAAGAATGTTTACATATGCATCAATAATTTTCTTCGTTTGCGTGTATACATAAAATGATATTTTCAAAAAAATATGAAAGTGTAGTGTTTTCGGTGTTGATCTGACGGTGTTCATAGGGAGTTAGTAAGTACTGCTATTTTAATTCAAATTCAGACTTCAGAATTACTTTGCAGTCCTTTCTTTTGTTCGTTAACTGTATTCTATTCATTCGTCTATAACACAGTGAAGCATTTATACCGCACAGATCTTAATTAACAAGAGGAGCGAAACTTTTAGAAAACATATTGCTCAGTTTTTCATGTTCAACAACACTAGAAACATTTTCATCACATTTTGGCCCCGAGTAACTTTATGTCATGCACACCTGATAATACTGATAATAGAAGAAAATGATATTTCGGTATTCTTCCAATATTCATTGTCGATTCATCACATCTTCTTATTCTTCTCCCAGTTATATTTATTGTTTCATTGTCTACAAAATGGCAAGCGAAACTATAAATAATGGGCATCGTTAATAATTTTATTTTAGAGAAATAAACGCTAAAGTATACTCTTTTTAAATATTGTCTGTTTCTTTTTTTCAAAGTTTATACTCAACCTACTGTCATGCTTGCAGATCTTGAATATCATGTACAGTCTATTCACCAATCATGGGAACAACGTGAACCGGCACCGGAAATAAAATTCTCTCTATGGCATACGTTTAAACGTCACATACCACGTTTTATTCTTACTGTCGTGTTTGATCTCGTTCTTCCGCTTGTTCTTTTTTTCGTTTTACAAAAGCGAATCGGTACACTTTATGCCCTATTAATCTCAGGTGCACCACCATTGGTCATGGTTATTCTTAAAGCAATCATATCACGAACATTGGATGCGCTTGGTCTTCTGATTTTACTTGGCTTTGTTATTTCGGCTGTTGTTGCACTTATTACAAAGAATGATACAGTACTTCTGCTAGAAAAATCGCTAGTCACAGGTGTTGCTTCTATTATATTTGCCGTTTCATTGATTCCAATTCCATGTTGTTGTAAACGATGGCATTGGCGACCACTTGTATACTTTATCTATCAAGATTTATTACCAACGAAACGAAAAGATATTGGATTACCTGATGATATATTCAACCATGAACCAAACTCAATGTATGGATTGTATGATTCGCAAAAGAAAGCCGATAAAAAAGAAGTAGCACAAGTCTACAATTGGCTATATACACATTGTCGATCCTTTCGTCGAACTTGTTATATATTAACGATCATTTGGGCCATTGGATTATTCTTGGAATTTGTTGGCCGATTAATTCTTATTTTTGTCAATTTAAGCGTCAATCAAATTTATATCTATGGACATGTTATCTTAGGTGTAGCGGTCGGTATATGTGGTATATTAACAGTGATTCTCGTATCACGAGAACGTAAAAAAACGATAGCTTTTGTTAAACAATGGAATCAAGGATATGGCGATGTAGAAGATCCAGAAAAGCAACGATCGAGTCTTTCTCTTTGGCTAATAGGAAACAGTCCCACTTCCAATGGATTCGTGTCTGATATAGGAATGCTAATACTTACGGCTATAGATTCTTTCCGTTTCTAAACGAGTGTCATAGTAGTTGAGCACATTTAATTGGTCGATTGTACACTTCGACTTCAGTTATAACTTTGGTCTGAAGATCATTTGATGAGATTATTCGAGTAGCGAGATGTAGATGAGTGCGATTAGATATCGAGTTACTACGAAATTCACTAAGCACTGTAAAATGTATCTACTAGCATTCGTATAGTGACACGAAAAATAGATAATTTTTCCTAAGTTTGTATTTCGATTACGGAGACCTCCTCCTCCCGGCCACATATATGTAGCTTAGGAATTTACGTTCTTTGTAAACTTGCTCACAACTAAATAAAAAAGATGCTTCCTCATACAGTTTGATTCACGGATATTTGATGTCGAGAAACATGAATCGGATGTTGGTTCTCGCTAAAAGTGGGCATGACAAGATTCATAGGGCTGCAGAATATGATTTTTACAAGAAAAAGGTAAGTGAGTTTTTCGACGAACGTCACTTGTTCTCATAATGATGTTGTTCCAAATGTTAGCAATCGAGTATAATTTCGTATAGAACAACATTTTATTCAACTTATGGTTATTCTTTATATATCAATGGAAATCTCATAGTAAATGTCATAACAATAGGATGTTCATCACTTGGATCATATATAAAAAAGTTCGTTGAAAACCGGACGATTTTTATTGGTCGTATATATATATGCATATCCAATCAGGACCAAAGATAATTAAATATATATACTGAAGACATCTATTCAATCGTTTAATGTGATTTAGTTTGTGAAAATCACATCAATACTTATCTCATTGTACTTTAAATTTCTTCCTAATTTCATATTAATGTATTATTTTTGATTTTTTGAAAAAAACGTTTTTTTTTCAGCATCGTATTTTTTATATATCTCCCTTATAATATAGGCTACAGCTTCGAACATTCAAGGTAACATTCGTCGTATAACAAGAGAATACTGCTCTAATTTTGAGCGAATTCGGATTTACTATAAGGGAGAACGAGTTATTTTCCTAACAACTACGAAGACTTTTGGCTCACCCTTTATTCTCTCTTCTTCATTATTTTTCTGTTGTTATTGGTGTTGTGTTCGTTCCAATAAACTAGAACTCACACATATATCTACATACGAGCATCAACAAAACGAAAAAAAAAAGAATTATTTTTCTTGTATGAGTTTTGTAATTGTATTATCATATCTTCTCGAAATATATTTTCAAGAGCATTGAACTAACTATTATCTTTATAATTCAAGGCTTCCCTTTGATCAATTGATATTGGGAATATATTAACTGTGCAAATAAAACGAACAATAGTTGCGATCCTTAACAACTCAAATCCTTGTTTAAAAAAACAGAAGAATTGCTGTGAAAATTATATGTTCTTTTCATTTTGAAGCGGTATAGTTTACATTTGAAAAAGTTCCTGTAACAAAAATCTGTTTTAATTCTAAGCATTTTTATAAGAAGTAGAACGCTAGATTAACATACATTTGCTTGTCATTCTTCCATCTTCAAGATTTAAACAAAATTCCCTTTCATTTTTAATATTCAAATGAAGTCATCGTACCGCAAGATTAATTTCTACGTCTTATTATTATTAATGTTTTTGCTGGAAGAAGAACGGAAACAAGTAACATGTGCGCATGTTACGTTCTGTTGTAAATATGTAAATTATTTAAAAAAACGAGAAAAAAAAAGAACTGCTTTCTAAGCAAAATGCGTCAATCGATAAAAAAAAGAATCGCACAATACGAAGAAATATACTTTTGATGAAAGGTAATTTTTTTATATGATTTTTACGTGCACCTGTATAAGTTTTGCTCATTTTTCTTGTAAAAATTGTACAGTTTATTATCACGCGAAATCAAAGTTAAATCTCTCATTATTTTTTATATATAGTTCTTTTTCATCATTTTATATTGATAATACATACAATCAAAATTATCTTTGTCTTATCCTATACATTAAGTAGTGTGAGATATTATTTATCAAGAATTATTCTTCAGATGACACAAGATTTCGTCCTTGTATGGTTGAATCAAAGTAATGATGAGATCAATAATGTGAACTGTCGTAAAATTTCTATTCGGTTACAACAAGTGGTAAATACATTCACTGATATGAAGAAATGTATAGATTTTATTACCAACAATAAAAACGAAAATGTCTTTGTTATCATTTCTGATGTACTTGCACAAACAACAGTATCTATCATACATACTATAAGACAAATAATTAGAATTTACATTTTTTCTCAACACAAAGATCAACATACAGAATGGACTAAACAATGGGTTAAGGTAAAGGATATTTTCACGGATATTTCGTTACTTTGTGAAGCTGTTGAAGAAGCTACTCATGTATGCAATCAAAATACTATATCGATTAACTTTCTTACTGAAAATAATGATACAAAAAATAAAAGTTTAAATAATGACGATAAATCCTTCGTATACACTCACATATTAAAAAACATTCTACTAACCATTTCTTTTGAAGAAAAACATGTCAAAGAATTTATAATTTATTGTCGAAATCAATTTGTTGGCAATACAACGAAACTGCAAGAACTTGATAAATTTGAAAAAGAATACCGCAAACATACTCCTATTTGGTGGTATACTTATCGTTGTTTTCTGAATTCCATGCTAAATAAAGCGTTATATAGTATGGATCTTGACCTTATTACCAAATTAGGATTTTTTATTCGAGAGCTCCATGAACAAATCGTCCATCTTCACTCTAAACAATACACAAATAATGCTTATTTATCATCGTTGACTATATATCGTGGTCAAAGTTTATCTCATGGAGACTTTGATCAATTAATGAAAAACAAAAATCGTTTACTATCATTCAATAATTTTTTATCAACTAGTAAAAATCGAGCTGTTTCACTTCGTTTTGCTCGTCGTGCTATGCATAATTCTAATCTTGTTGGTATCTTATTTGTAATAGATATCGATCCCTCCATACCTTCACTACCTTTCGCTGACGTTCGAGACGTCAGTTATTACCAAAAACAAGAAGAATTTCTTCTATCTACGCATTCTATATTTCGCATTGGAGAAATCAAACAAATTGGTGAAAACGATCGATACTGGCAAATAGATTTGTCGTTAATTAGTGACAATGATTCGCAATTGTATACTTTTACTCGATACATACAGGAAGCAACGTCTCTTCATCGAAGCAGTTTGTATCGATTGTCATTATTACTGTCAATACTTAGCCAATTCGATAATTTTCGTCAAATATGTGACGTAATACTTAAATCAGTATATAACGAACGAGAAAAGGCAAATATTTATCATCAACTTGGATGGATCAAGTACAATGAACAAGACTATGCTACGGCAATTGCATTTTATGAAAATTCAACTAGAACTTTTCAGAAAACTCTTGATTCTGCTGATTCTGACTTTGCTATTTTGTACAGAAATACAGGCTTTGCGTATACCAAAATGGGCGACTGCGTGAAAGCGATTTCATTTCATGAAAAAGAACTTGAAATCCAAAAAACACTCCTGCCACCGAATCATATAGATTTGGCTATTACGTACAATAACTTCGGTGAAAGTTGCCTTAATATCAACGACTTTAAAAGAGCCATATCATTTTTTAAAAAGGCGATTAACATCTTTTCAAATAATTTTCCTTCGAATAATCCTATTTTTTCAATTGCGTACAAAAACCTTGGAATAATTTATTACAAGATTGGAGACTACGCGAATGCACTTATTTATTATGTAAAAGTACTTGAATTTCAACAAACAATATTACCTTCAAATGATTCTAATTTAGTTATTTGTTACTGGCTCATGGCAAACATTCTAAATCGGACGGGCGACTATTTGAAAGCACTCTCATTTAATAAAAAGATACTTGAAATCTATCAAAATACACGATCTCCAGATCATCCTGACTTTGTTATTGCATATAATAATATGGGTATGGTTTACTGCAGACTGACCGAGTACACAAAAGCACTTTCACTTTATCGAAGAGCAATTGAAATCAACCAGAAAACACCTAGTCCAGATGACTCTTATTTAGCCATTCTTTACAATAATATTGGTGCTGCGTATGAAAGGATTGGTGATTATTCAAAAGCGTTGTCGTACTACGAAGAAGCAATTGTAATCTACGAAAAAGTTTCTCTCTCAAATACTCTGTCTTTGGCTACCTGCTACAATAATATCGGTTTGTTATATGATAATATGGATGATCACTCGAGAGCGCTATCGTATCATACAAAAGCATTTAACATACAGCAAAAACTTCTTCCTCCAAATCACTCGGACATGGCTGCTTCTTATTCAAACATGGGTTCCACGTTAGCAAGTATTGGAGAATATAAAAAGGCACTTGATTTTCACGAAAAAGCACTTCAAGTTTTACAAAACACTCATCCTTTCAATCATCCTCATGTAGCTAACGCTTACAATAATATTGGTGTAACGTATGAGAAGATGGGAGACTATTCGGTCGCACTTTCTTATTATAAAAAAGACTTTGTTATTTCAATAGAAACCCTTTCTCCAGATCATCCTGATCTCGCTATTTCGTATAACAATATTGGTAGAATGTATCACGAGTGGAACAACTATTCGGAAGCACTTTCTTGTTATAAAAAAGCACTCGACATCAGACAAAAGAAATTGCCTCCAAATCATTCCGATTTCGCCAAGTCTTATACGATTATTGCTTCTTCATATAGCGCGATGGGTGACTATTCGAATGCACTTTTATATTATGAAAAAGCAGTTGAAATTCATCAAAAAACAACACCTAGAAATTATCACCAATTAGCTGATATCTACAGCAGTATAGGTGCGATATACGAAACCATGGGACAGTATTCGAAAGCTCTTTCTTATTTTGAGAAAGATCTCAAAATTACGAAAGAAAATCTTCCATCAGATCACCACGGACTTGGTACTTCTTTAAATAACATCGCTGGTACATACTTCTATATGAAGAATTACTCTAAAGCGCTTTCACATTATAGAGAAGCACTTGAAATCTATGAAAAAAGTCTTCCTCCAAATCATAGTAGTTTGGGTAGATGTTACTACAATATGTCTGTATTATATGGCGAAATGGGTGACATCTTCAAAGCATTCGAATTTGCTAAACGTGCGTTCGACGCTGGGCAACATTCGCCACCTACCAATAAGTTCTAATTTCTTACATATAGACAACATCTAGAAACGGCAGAAAAACATTTTCTATTGTACTGTTATCATACGTGGTCTGCTATAAAATCTTAATAATAGAATGAATTCGTAAGTTTTCCGCCACTTTTGTGGGAAAAATTTCTTTTCCCGGTAGAAATAGTCTAATCAGATGTATTCTCGTCAAAAATGGTTAGAAGAAATAAATAATCATGTTATATTTACAGATCTAGAATATTTTTCAGGGACAAAGCCACTTAAATTGGACTTCTACAGCATGCCACTATCATGAAGATTCAAGTGTTCATAGAACTGTTAGTTCTATATATTTTGATTAAAAAGGCTTTTGCTTTCTGAAGATAGAGGTGTGTGTGTAAGGGTATAGAGAAGACACCACACCCACACCCTCACACACCCTCACACAAACATCAACATGAATCAGATGCTGGATGTTTGTAGATATCAATATAAAAACGATTAAAACATCACTTGTTTGGTCCTATCACTATACATTGAATTCAGAGAGTCGGTAGAAAAAAATTGTAAACCAGATTTCTGAAAAGATAAACTATGAAATCAAACACTCTATAGATATTTGATAAAACGTTCCTAAATAGTTATGCGTACCGGTTAAATCTTGATTTTAATAAATTAATAAATAAAATATAGCAATAGCACAAAGAAATATAGTTCGACAAAAGGAGAGTAGGTGTTAGGGTGAGAGAGCAGGTGCAATATTAGTGCGAATATATTCGACTATGGGGTAATATCTTATCGTCAATTCAACATTACGCCAATTGGTGAAGTTTCTCTGGAAGTTCGCCATTAGTGAATATATCGTTGGGGATAAGACACTAGGTCCTCGACTATTTATACCCCACAATTACACTTACATTTGCTGTTATTTTAAGTGAAGCGTGGAAAAATGATGAATGAAGTTTCTATACATTGTTCAGGTGAAATAAAAATATTTGTCTGCGTTTCATCTAGCTGCATATATGAATGAATACTATCAAAACACGTCGCAAATTCGGATTCGTATAAATGTAATTGTTTTCCATCCCTATTATTTTGATTGACGCAAAAAAAATCTCTCTGACCTAATGAAGTATGTACGACCAAGTTTACACTGAGTTGTATGCATAATGCTCTTGTCAATAAATGATCAACTGGTTTTGCATTATCTTTCATTTTAACTAAATAATCATCAACAGATAACGACGGATTAAGGCACCATGCATGCTCATAAAACTCATTTGGATTTGCTTTTACATAATCAATCGCAACTTGTCGATAAAAGCCAGAACGATCATCATTGCCGTGTATACAATCACTAATTGCACGAAAAAAATTACTTTCATCTTTTAAAATTTGCTTTCTATATAGAAAGTGTTTGTGAAGCATAGCGTCACTATCACCCACCAATGAATCATCACAGTCATTAATAATATGTTTAGTACATAATCCGTTTTCGTTGTAGATATATTTAACACTATTACTAGAAGTATCGTCAATTAACAAGCCAGATGAAATGGTTTTCGGCTCAGTGGTATAAATGGGTATTCTGTTCGTTTCTCTTTTCTCTATAAAATTGATAATATAATTTATGTTCTCTTTAGTTTCAGCAATTTCAAATTGGTTTTTGTCTAATTGAGAGTAACGATCTTCTTCTTTTATTTCGAATTTATCCGTTGCAAATTGTTCTAATGTTCCATTGAATTTCAGTGATTCTTTTATCACATCAATGCCATCTTCATTGATGTTATTACTAAATAGTGATATTTGTCTTAAGATTTTATTTTTCTTAAGCATCTCACTAATATAATCCATTCCATGATCAGTAAACATACATGAATTAAGATGAATATTTTTTAATGCTTTGTTCATAATTAGACCTTTGCAAATGTATTTGAGACCAATGTCAGTTAACTTGTTATAACACAATGCTAATTCATTTAAAATACTATTATTTACCAGTAAATGTTCGATATGTACGCAACCATCGGCACTTAATTTATTACCCATTAACTGGAGTTCAAGCAATGTTGTAGAACTTACTAAACCGTTTACTAAAAATTTCAATTCATCGTCGTGTAAATCAACAAACTTTAGATATAATACTGTCAAATGAATAGGCTCGACGAAAGCTAAAGCAGCAGACTGTAATAATCGAGGATTTTCTGATATATTGAAATCAGTCAATGTTTTGTTAATACGTAAACCAGAGACCGACGGTATGCGGTACCAGCACCGTACCGTACCGTCTCGTCCCGGTACGGTACGGTATAGGAAAAAAAAGAAGTAAGGCGGTACGGTACGGTACGGTATGGATAAGCCACGGTACGGTACGGTATGCGGTATTAGATGACTATACCGCACTCCCGCGCCATAGTCAGAAGAAACCTTCTAACAATGATTTTCGAGGTTATGTATCGTAGTTTTTTCATTCGCGTTTAAATCTTGACAGGAATTAAATAAAGCTAAACATTTCTCCCTCCTTTATTCTCATCTTTTATGTTTCTTGTTCGTTATCAAAAACAACCGAAAGTTAATTCGATCCTAATACAACAGATTACGATGTCAGTGAACTATCATCATTGTNTCCATCCATATAATCCGAGAAAATCAATCATTGCTATTGCACGAATATAATGAATCGTCGAACGAACTTGAGCATTTCGAAATCTTGCTCGACATAATACAATGAATATTAAAAGATTAAATATTGTACCAATAATGACCATTAATAACGAATAATAACCCGCAAAAGTTACATCATTTGAAGATGAATACATACTTGTAGCATTTGAATTATTTGTAGTTGCCATTGTGTTGAGAATGATAAACTGTATGTTTCTTTCAATAATTTATACTCAATAGAATAGAAAAGAGGAAATCTTTTCAGAGCTTAGAGATTTATTTTATGAATTATTAATCTATTTAGCTTTTAGTTATAAGCTGAAAGGCAGCTCACGTCAGCACAAATATTTATATTAATCATCTTTTAAATTGCCAGAAAATGTCATGTTTCTGTATAATATAAACCATGATTTCGTGATAAACTATTTTTTAATTTTGTGAAAATACATGATTTCAAAAGTATTTCCTATTGCCATATAACAATATGGTTAATTCGAATGTCTCTCGTTGTGCTGATATGGAATATTCTAACAGAAAAAAAAACAGCATAACCAATGATCAATACATAAATAAATTGTAAGATGCTGACATATAAGAGCAAATTGTACTGAATTGAGAAAGTAGGTTTTCAGATTTGGAAAAAGGAAAATTTTGACCTACAACTTTCTACTCCGATTGTTCGGATAAGCACATTGTAAAAAGCTTTATTAATGAATTATGCAGCATATTCCTCCACATCATACTTTGTGTTCCACTTGGAGACATGTTGAAAATTAATAAAATGATTGTTTGAAGGACATGCACTCTATTAGATGACTATCAGTAATATTACTGTTGCAGGCATGTGCATACGTATGCCTTCACATCTTTCTCTTTATCTGTTTCTATTTCTATAAATATAGGTTCTTCGCCTCGGTTTACGAATAAACAAATTGAGTTTCGTCTCTGGATCGAAGCCATTGCCAATAATCGTGTACTAATAAAACTCTTCTACACTATTTCCTGTCGTAGAACTAATGAGAAAATTTATCTATAGATTGTTTTAAGTACGTATTTGATGTCAAAACTGGCAAAGATATCCGATGGCAAGTGAGCTTTATACGCATGAAAATTGTACATGGTGAGAACAGATAGGTATGACAATTTCTGATAGAAAGAGTGAGATGTAATGTATGTGTTCTTTATTTCATCCAAAGAAATCGTACTTATACTGTACTTTCATCGTCTTTATATAGTCCTCGGTACATACAGTATCACGCTATAGAAAAATACCAAAGTCTGCAAAGCCATATCTAATGTCCATTGCTATCACGCGGTGAAGTAGTGGGTCAAAACATCATGCAATCATTAGTCTCTTCTAAAGAGAGCTAATGTATCGTAAATATGAAGAGAAAGTAGAAACACATCATGCATAGTAGTGGACTTCTAATATCGATATCATATGTGAGCGTGATTTCAGCGCTTTGAATTGTATATAAACAAATGGTCGTTCGAGACTCATGATTGACATTCTGAATACTTTACTAGCTGTTCGTCTGTCTTTGCTCGATGATATTCGAAGGTATGAACGAGATAATATAAGAAATTTTTCTTCTAATGGGTGGTTATTTTCAGAAAAAAGATGTCATCAAGTTGTTGAGAAGTCATTTGGATCTTTGGAATAATCCAAATGAGAACCGTCGATGGAAACGAACAAAATTTATAATAGATGTACCAGACGACTATGAATCAGAGAGGCAGACTCGTGAAAGTGATACAAAAAAAAGAAGAGCTGAAGCAATGAAAAACCATGGCCTTAGTTCAAGTAAACCTAAAAAGCCAAAATCAACAGCTGTGAAATGCATCAATAGTTGTCGTCGGACGATCTCATACGACGATACAATGTAACAAGACGTCATCCAATGCTGTCATCAAAACGAGTATTATTCTTGGATCAATGATAACGAAGGATATTCCAGACGGCTTTGTAATTATCGTCGAGTCATGTTATCAATTTCAACAGATTCGTTTGCTTGGTTTTGCGATAATCTTGTTGATATGTATATTGAAGGTGATGGTATTGAAGAAAAACAATGACCTGAACTGATTCAAGACATGCATAGTGAATAATCTGAATCTGAACATGAAGATACGTAGATCGACAAATGTATATATTTCTTTGTTTTTTTTTCTGAATAAGTTTGAGAACTATCACTGACATGTAAATAGGTACATATTAGCATGAATATTTGTGATTCTCGTCACACGAGTCTTTTCCAAGTTGTTTTTCCATGAAGATTGATTATATATATTCTATTTCATTTATTTATATTTATTAAACTTTGAAATGAAAACGTTTACAAAGAAGATATTAATTGCAGCCAATGTTCTTTTGTTTTTTAGATTTTGCACACTGCGTACAGTTTGTCGAAAATTTTAGAGTGCGCGAAACAATTAGGTTAAAAAGACAAAGTATTACCAAAAATTCTCATTAGAAACACTGATTAGATGATAAGAAAAATCGTCAGAAAGGATTATGTTCTCCAGATGACAATATCATGTTTACTTGTTTGCATTTAGCAGCTATGAGTGAAAAGTAAAGGTTAGCAATTTCCTATCTGCCATCGATGTAATTTTGACTTGTTTTCTTCAGGACTTAGCATAGTCATATATTTGGTAGAAAGTGTGCGTATTGAAGTCAACGCTATTGGTGATCGACGGCTTTCTCCACTTCGTCTTGCTTGTGAATATGAGAATCTTAAGGTAGATAAATATCTTGTTGACAAAGGTGCTTCAACTACATTACGTACCACACAGTTCTACAATTGTCTGGAAATTTCTATTCAAAAGCAGAATGAAGAAGTAGCGAAATATCTGTTACAACAATCTAATTGGAAAGAAATAATGCGCAATGCATAATCTATTAATCATACGGACGCTTATGACACACCAATGAGAAAATTAATTCGATACGTGCCTGAAGTAAGTCTTTGGATGACCGATGGAAAACTAACACAAACAGTTGGTGGTGCTGGGTGTTAATGCTATTTTCGGCTGTTATTCTAGAGACGCATGCTGCAATTCAACTGTTCAAGACGAAAATTACAATCAAGAGGACAATTATATATCGGAAATGAATAGTCTTGACTCCTACACAATAGTATGAAAACATCCTTTGTTCATTGCATTTGAATAAGATAAATATCCGAGTTTACTCGCACATGGGTTTCATACTCTCTTACGCAAAAAAATGTTTCGACGATTTAGTATATATTGATTGGCATTTTCATTTCTTTTCCGTATTATTCTACTCAGTTTGTGGACTGCGGTAGTTCTTAATGGAAAACATCCTCAATATTTCTATAATTTAGCTGGCTATAGTTTAACGGTGAATTGAAGCGTATTGCGTAGACCCTCATACTCTCCTTTGTCTATACACTAGATTGGTATGACTGGCAGAGTCCAGTAATCTTTCAATGTCTTATTCAATATCAAATTGGATCGATGGACCTCCTTCTTGCTTGGATGAATCTACTTACATATGTCCGTTGTATACTTTGGTTGGATGTTGGTGTCTATGCTTCAACTTATCTGTCTTAAGTTTCATCGGTTTTTACCTGTATTACTAATTATCATATGTGGATTTGGATTTATTTTTTGGATGTTATTACAAAATCAAAATCCATATGGCACATCTATCGAAGCCCTAATAAGTACAAATTTAATGATGTTCGATGTAAGTTATGAAGATCGACTTTACAGTAGCTCCAGCGATGTAGCATATTATCAGGTTGCATATGTCGTTATGATCTTTACAGCTATTGTTTTTTGCATTTTTATTATTAATCTAATGATTGGTAAACTATTGTGATCTTTTTAAAATTTCAGGCGAAATAATGATCAATTTTTCTCCACTAGGTCTTGTTGTTGGTGAAATTCCAATCTTAATGGATGAAGATACTCTTCGAGGTAACAAAATGCTCTGCAATTTTGTATCCGACGGTGAAATCTTACGTTTACAATTTCATCGATTCTTTAAATTTATAAGTTGCCATCATAAGAATCTACTTCGATGTATACGTACTGGACCTGTTATCCTTTTAACATACGATGAAAGAGATCACGGTTAGTTTCAAAGAGCATGGCATTACGCAAATTAACATTTCTATGAAGAAAAAATACAGGATGACGCCGCACTACGAAAAACACTGATGAATGGCCAATTTTTACTAAAGAATTTATATGTTATTCAAATAAAAAATTATTTATAATATTATAGAGCGATAATTCACTCTTATTTTTTGTTTACAGGCAAAGCTTTCGCATCTATTGTCCATTCTCTTTGAGATACACATAACATAGAATCTAATTATAATTTCCTAATCCATATTCATTTGAAAAAAAAGGATAAAATCTGTTCATTTTTTGTTATTTGTTTTATAACATGAAGTACTGAATATTACTAATATATAAATAATAATTTTTTTCTCTTATGAAAAGAAAAACACGCCTTGTTCTGTCAGGTTTTTTTAAATGTCTGTTCTTCTGCCGTCGTGTCATCAAATGCATATTTTCATAAGTAATATACAATAGAAACTATTCTTTCTCTCATTATGTGACTTTGTAAATGAAAACAAATGTGATACCAATTTGCCAGTCAAAAACTCAATCACATGGATGTAGACGTTTTGAATATTTATTGGGATAGAGCAAATGATAGCAGTGTTATAAGAGGAATGATATGACGCCTACAGATTCATTGACATGAGTAAAACACATCCGTGTAGGAGTCCGTGGAAAATATGATATGCATTACATAAAAAAAACTGATTGTGTATGAATGACGCTTGTTTGGGTAATTATGAAGTCACTACACCTGTTTTTAATTATTCATTAATAAAATAAATAGTAAAACACGCCTGTGAAAAGAATAATTTCACGAGTAATGTTGATGAAGGTGTCGATAAGAATGTTTACATATGCATCAATAATTTTCATCGTTGGCGTGTATACATAAAATGATATTTTCAAAAAATATGAAAGTGTAATGTTTTCGGTGTTGATTTGACCGTGTTCATAAGCAGTTAGTAAGTACTGTTATTTTAATTCAAATCCAGACTTCAGAATTACTTTGCAGTCCTTTCTTTTGTTCGTCAACTGTGTTCTATTCATTCGTCTATAACACAGCGAAACATTTATATTATACATATCTTAATTCCCAAGAGACACTAGAAACATTTTCATCACATATTGACCCCGAGTAACTTTATGTCATGTATACTTGACAACACTGACGATAGAAGAAAATGATATTTCTGTATTCTTCAAATATTCATTATCGATTCATCAGATCTTGTTACTCTTTTCCTAGTTATATTTATTGTTTCATTCTCTACAAAATGGCAAACGAAGCCATAAATAATGAGCATCGTTAATAATTTTAACTTAGAGAAATAAACGATAAAGTCTACTCTTTTTAAATATTGTCTGTTTCTTTTTTTCAAAGTTTATACTCAACCTAAAGTCATGCTTGCAGATTTCGAATATCATGTACAGTCTATTCACCAATCATGGGAACAACGTGAACCGGCACCGGAAATAAAATTCTCTCTATGGCATACGTTTAAACATCATATACCACGTTTTATTCTTACTGTTGTGTTTGATCTCGTTCTTCCACTTGTTCTTTTTTTCGTTTTACAAAAGCGAATCGGTACACTTTATGCCCTATTAATCTCAGGTGCACCACCATTGGTCATGGTTATTCTTAAAGCAATTATATCACGAACACTGGATGCGCTTGGTCTTCTTATTTTACTTGGTTTTATTATTTCGGCTATTGTTGCACTTATCACAAAGAATGATACAGTACTTCTGCTAGAAAAATCGCTAGTCACAGGTGTTGCTTCTATTATATTTGCCGTTTCATTAATTCCAATCCCATGTTGTTGTAAACGATGGCATTGGCGACCACTTGTATACTTCATCTATCAAGATTTATTACCAACGAAACGAAAAGATATTGGATTACCTGATGATATATTCAATCATGAACCAAATTCAATGTATGGATTCTATGATTCGAAAAAGAAAGCTGATAAAAAGGAAGTAGCACAAGTCTACAATTGGCTATATACACATTGTCGATCCTTTCGTCGAACATGTTATATATTAACGATCATTTGGGCCATTGGATTATTCTTAGAATTTGTTGGCCGATTAATCCTTATTTTTGTCAATTTAAGCGTCAATCAAATTTATATTTATGGACATGTTATCTTAGGTGTAGCAGTCGGCATATGCGGTATATTAACAGTGATTCTCGTATCACGAGAACGTAAAAAAACGATAGCTTTTGTTAAACAATGGAATCAAGGATATGGCGATGTAGAAGATCCAGAAAAACAACGATCCAGTCTTTCTCTTTGGCTTATAGGAAACAGTCCCACTTCCAATGGATTCGTGTCTGACATAGGAATGCTAATAATTACAGCTATAGATTCTTTCCGTTTCTAAACGAGTGTCATAGTAGTTGAGCACATTTAATTGGTCGATTGTACACTTCGACTTCAGTTATAACTTTGGTCTGAAGATCATTTGATGAGATTATTCGAGTAGTGAGATGTAGATGAGCGCGATTAGATATCGAGTTACTACGAAATTCACTAAGCACTGTAAAATGTATTTATACTAGCATTCGTAGAGTGACACGAAAAATAGATCATTTTTCCTAAGTTTGTATTTCGATTACGGAGACCTCCTCCTCCCGGCCACATATATGTAGCTTAGGAATTTACGTTCTTTGTAAACTTACTCACAACTAAATAAAAAAGATGCTTCCTCATACAGTTTGATTCACGGGTATTTGACGTGGAAAAACTNTTTCGGTGATAGATAGACCTCAATGAGGTATGAAAAACCTCAAGAGAATTCGTGCCCTCGCGCCTTTATTTCAGAGATACTGAGTTCTCAAGATATATACGAAAAGAGACTGAAATGAAGGATGATCGTTTTTATAGAACAGTAGAGTTTTCAGGTGAAAGCTTTTTCCAGTTTTGTGCACTGCTTGTATAATCCACTCTGGGTTATGAGCTACATCATATATTATTAATATCACGTCTACTCACTGTTCATTGACCTATGGAACTATCAGAATTTTTCACTTCACATCCAATATTGTTATACATCAGAAAAGTCCTCACAAAGGAAAATCAGTGAAAATGATAGGTCACAAAAAAGTGATTGAAATATATTGGTTTCTCACACCAGCTGCAGCAGATAAAAGGAGCCACCAGAGACCGACGGTATGCGGTACCAGCACCGTACCGTACCGTACCGTCTCGTCTCGGTACGGTACGGTATAGGAAAAAAAAAGAAGTAAGGCGGTACGGTACGGTATGGTATGGATAAGCCACGGTACGGTACGGTATGCGGTATTAGATGACTATACCGCACTCCCGCGCCATAGTCAGAAGAAACCTTCTAACAATGATTTTCGAGGTTATGTATCATAGTTTTTTCATTCGCGTTTAAATCTTGACAGGAATTCAATAAAACTAAACATTTCTCCCTCCTTTATTCTCATCTTTTATATTTCTTGTTCGTTATCAAAAACAAACGAAAATTAATTCGATCCTAATACATCAGATTACGATGTCAGTGAACTATCATCATTGTCGTATATTTACAACCAATTGATATCAGTAAATGCTGTAAGAGAAAGTTTATCATCAGCAACCTTTTGCTTTTTCTCGTTAATGATATTGTTTAATGAAAAGCACAGATAAGTAACTCATCGACTCTTTTACTGAAACCAAGCTAAGGTACGTCTTGAATGTCGTCAAATCCCTTGATGTGGCTTAGTTTAACTAAAAAATGAACGTCGCGTCCTTCTATGTAGTCACTCCAAAACTGTCTGATTTCTTAGTGCTCATTCTAAAGAAATAAAAACACTTAATAGTGCAACAGATATAAAATCTTTTGTTATGATGATGATGGTTTTCGTAAAGCTGCGCAACACTGTGTCAGTAGAATCATATCATGCATTCTTGAAATACTTTTTACGCCTATGTTTATAATTATAAATCTATGTATATTAATACTTTCCTATCGATGTTCTTCGAAAAAGGAACTTATATGACATATATGAAAGGGAACAAGTTAGAATCACTCTGAAAAAAATTCGAAAATTTTTTGTCGGCGGTACGGTATTTCGCGAGACGGTATGCTCAGAACCTGCGCGGTAACGGTACGGTACTGTATCAGATAATTATCAGGCGAGACGGTACGGTACGGTATGGAACTAAAGAAGACGGTACGCGGTACGAGGCGGTATTAAAATTTTGCAATACCGTCGGTCTCTGACGTAAACTATCGGCAAGAGCTGCAGCACCAACACTAGATATTCTATTAGAACTGAGAGATAATTTTGTTAAGGTTTCATTGTTTTTTAATCCATTAGCAATATATGTGGCACCGATGCAGTCAATATAATTATCGTACAAATGAAGAATTTTTAGACTCCGATTTACGGATAATGCTTCTCCGAATGGATGCACTCCGCTTGAATTCGTTTTGTTATGTGTTAGATATAGAGTTGATAATGTTTTATTCAGTTTTAGAGCATTGCCAAGTGCACAAAATCCACTGGAACGGATTTTATTGTTGGAGAGATCTAGATAAGTGAGACTCTCATTAATTTCTAATCCAGAAGCAATGAACTCACTGCCAGCTGATGTAAGCTTAGTATGTGTTAGAGAAATTTTGGTGATCACTTTGTTACGTTTTAACATTTCACCCAAATGCTGGGCAGCTTTATTTGATACTTTAATTTCGGAAATGCTGAGATTTACTAGGGTATGGTTGTGTTTTGAAAGAGCATCAAATAATAGTAATGTCATTTGATGGTTGGAAAATTTGTTGAGCGTTAAATCTGTTAAAATCGTATTAACTTCAATTGCTCTCGCAAAAACTTGGCAAACGTTCTTGGAAACTTTCTGTGATCGAAATAACGTTTGAGAAATATAAAGTTCTTTTATCGTATCGTTTATGGCCAATGCATCAGCAAAATATATCAGCCCCGCTTCGTTTTCACACGGCCCACTAAAAAAAACTAATTCTTGAATATCCGAGCCATTACGCATAAAGTCACACAGCGTTCTCATTTGTTGTAATGTTAATGTCTTGTCGAATGATAGCTTTCTGCCAAAATTTGAAAAGTGAACACCTGTTGAATATAGCTCTGATGCGATATCCAAAATGTTTTCATTGTCATCTTGGTAGAAAAGGATCTCTTGTTGTCTAATATCATGATTATTTTCTCGCGAGGAACTAAAAAGACTATTTAGATCAAATATGTGCATTTGCTCTTTCATTACCATTTTGCATACCTCGATTTTTAATTCTAGTAAGCCTTTAAGCTCTTCATTTAGAGTTAACTTGAATGCGAGCCGAAAAAAAAGGAATGCTCGCATAGGGCGATTCATTTCCTGGTAATAAGCACCAATTTCATCAAAAGTTCTAGCTACTAATGGATGATTTATGTCTAATTCACTCAATAATTCAAAATGAATGTCGATTATTTGCCCAAATTCGTTAAGTCCTTCTGAATATTTCTTTTGCGCAAAATAAAACTGTCCTAAACGAAAATGTATTGGCACACGTTGTATATGGTTTTTTGGCAATGATAAAACTTGTATATTCATTGCATGTTGGAGATTCTCTAACACTCGACTATCAGTGTTATTCTCTACATAATAAGCCCAACCAAAATAATAATGTAATTCAGCGAAGAGCGGATGATTTCTAGGTAGAATTTTTTCATAGATTTCTTTCGCTAAAGATAATAGTTTAAACACTTTTTCCGGTTCGGATTTATAACTGTTATCAGCTTCAAGGTGTAATGATGCCATATTAATGTAGGTTTGAGCTAGTAATAAATAATATGTTTTTTGATTTTTCTGTTTATAATCTTGTAAAGAATCCAAAACACAATTGAAATAAAAGACAGCCATGCTATAATTTCCCATATCAATATATAATTTACCTAATTGATTTTGACATTTTAAGTAATTTAAACTCGTTTGATATTGTCTATTTTTAAGTGCAGTTTTGTATAATTCTTCCGCCTGACTATAATTAGTTGTACTATGAAAAACTGAGCCCAAACCCATAATAAAATCGAACAGATAAAATAGACTTTGATTGTCATTGCGATATCGATTATAAATATCTTTAAAATAGTTTGCTGCTTCTTCGTATTTTCCCATATAAATCAAAAATTTTCCCAAAACTATATCTTTAACTTCATAAAATGTGTCATCCATAAAATAATTCATCAAGTTAGTCAAATATCGAAATTTAAAGATAACGTCAAAATTTTCGTAATAACGAAGCGCCCGATTCAACAGACGATAAACGAACGAATCAGCTGTATACCATTTAATAACTTGATCTGATGTATAAGTTAAATGAAAAGTATTGATTTTTTCCAGCACCCTTATGTTATTTTCATAGGACAAACGGCATTCATTGACCATTTCTTCTTTTGCTTGTTCAGTATGATGCATGCTTATTATGAGATCAATCAATAACTGTGACCATAAATAATCTGCATTTATTATATGTGTCGATGTTTCTATACAATCATTACTAAAAACTGTGATCGGCAAAGACTGTAATTCTTTGTTATCGTTTAGCTTCAGATCTTTTAACGGTAAAACTGAAATCCGACAATAGGAATTTCGCCAACTGAATTTGGACAGTGTCCAAATTACGATAGAATTTCGACAATTGTCCAAATTCTACCGGAGGTTCGACAAAATTGTCGAATTTACAGCGTCGTCCAAAT